TTGGTGGATGGGTGGTTTTTGGTGGAAGGGGAATTTAATTTTAATATTGGGGTTGGATTTGTTGGGTGGGGGGGGGGGGGGGGGGGGGGGGGGGGGGGGGGGGGGGGGGGGGGAGGGGATGGTGAGAATGAATTGTTTATGATGATGTGTATGGGGAATGGGGTTTTGGGGTATGGTAAGTGATTGTGGATTTGTGGGTGATTGTAGTATAAATGGTGGTGGGGGTAGGGGGGTTGGTGGGGTGGAGTAGGTAGATTGTGGTGGGGGGGGGATGGGTTGTTGTTATGTATTGGTTTTGGATGTAGGGGGTTTATTTAAATGAATGGGAAGAGGGGGGGTTGTGGAGGGTGTTGGTTGGGTTTGAGGGGGGGGTGAGGAGTAGAGATTATTATTAGGGTGTGGAAGGGTGGATTAGTATTGTGATGTATTTTTGATTGAGGGGTCAATGATTTGATGGGGAATGAGATAAGGGAGGGATGAAATGAGGTGGTAATGAGGGTGAATGGGAGAGGGTAGGAGGGGAATTATAGGTGGGGGTATATTGTAAGGAAAAGAGGGGAAGGTGTATGTAGGGTGATAGGAATTAGGGTGTTGGTAATTAAAGTGGAGGTAGGGGGTGTGGAGGGGGGTGGTAGTATTAGAGGGGTAGGATTAGGAGAAAGAAGAAATGGAAGGGTATGTTATATGGTAAAAGGAATTTTGAAGTATGTTGTTTTGTATGAGGAACTGTGGGGAGGGGTTTGAGAAGAGAAGTAAGAAGTTATTTTTTATTTTGGGGGGTTTGAAAGATCGGGTTGATAGGAGGTGGATAATGGAATATGGGATGGGTGGGGTTGGATGTGGGTTGAATTGTGGGTAGTGAATTTTTGGTGTTTTGGTAAGTATCTGTTTTGAAATTGGAAGGGGGAAGAAGTGTGAGGATGGTGGGGGATTGGGGAATGGGGTTAAGTGGGAGAGTTGATAGGGTGGGGGGGGAATAGAATTGGTGGAATGGAGATGAGGGGTTGAGTGTGAGTAGGGTTGGAGAGGGGTTAGACAGTTTGAATGGGGGGTTATGATGGTGGAGGTTTCATGTTGGGGGGTAATGGTGGGTATGAGGGGGGTTGATGGTGGTTTAAGTGTTTGAAGTTGAAGTGTGATGGTAGGGCTGGGGTGTGGTTATTAGGTGGTAGGTTGAGATCGGTTGGTTGTGATTTGTGGTAGGGAAGGTTGTTATGATATTGTAGGGGTTAATGGGGGTGTTTGGGTGTGTTATTTGTTGATTTATGGGGGGGGTTGATGTGTTGGTGGGTTGGGTTGGGGGAGAATGGGAATAAGGTTGTGAGGGGGGAGGGGGGGGATTTGGGGTTATTTTATATGTTGATGGTGAGGGTTGTTTTGATTGGGAGGTTGTTGGAGTAGGGTGGTGTGGGTTGAGGGTTGTTGATTTTTGGGGATAAGGGGAGAGTTAAAAGTTTTATTTAGTGGTAGTTGGGGAAGGAGTTGGGGGGTGGAATTGATTTAATGGGGGGTAGTGAGGTTTGGTAAGGGGATAAGTGATTTTAAGATAAAGATGAGGTATTTGAATAAGATTGTGGGGGTTGGTGTTTTAAGGAAGTTTGGAGGGGATTTGTTGATGGGGGTGGTAAGGTGTGATTTGGTATGGTGGTTTTGGTGTGGTTTTGAGGAAATTGGGAATTATGGGGGGGTGATGTATATGGAGGATATTGATAGGTGGAGTTAGGAAGGAGGGTTGGTTTATTTTTTAATAGTGGTGGGGTAAAGAATGTTTAGAGGAGAAGAATGTAAGAATGGTTATTAGTAATGGGTATGGAAAAAGGGTAGAAGTGTGGGATTTAGATTTGAGAAGATGTTCATGAAATAGGGGTTTGAATTGGATATTTAAGGGGTAGGTAGGGGGAATTAGAGTAGTTATAGATGATGTTAGGGGTGTGTAAATGGTGGGGTTTGAATTAGGGGGGGGAGATAGTGGTGGGGAAAGGGGGGTGTGTTGTGGGAGTTTATAAGTATATGAAGTAGAGCAGAGAAGAAAGAATATAAGAGGTAGATAGTTTAGGAAGGTTTTTTTATGTTTTTTTTGATAAGATGAATAGTGATGTTGAGGTTATAGGTTAGGATTTGGGTGATAGAGGATGGAATGAGGGGGTGTGGGGGTGGGGGAGGGGAGGAGTTGGGGGGGGAAGGTTAAGTTGATGAGGTGTGGGATGATTTGACGATGTTATTTTCATATGGATGGTGGTGGTGGTTTGTTATGTTGGTCTTTGAGGGAATTTTGGGTTAGGATAGAGAATGGAGATTGGGGAATGTGTGGAGGTTAAATGAGGTAATGTTTGAGGGTGGGGGGGGGATATATTTGAGTGTTAACTAGGGGGGGGGGGGGGTATTTTTGTGTTTGAAAGGGGGGTGGGAAGGGGGGGTTAGGGTGGCGTGGGGTTTGATGTTGGGTTAAGGTGAGGGAGAGAATATGGGGTAGTGTAATGGTGTGGTGAGTAGGGGTGGGAGAGGGAGAACATGATGGTAGGGGGGTGGGGGGGGGTTTTGGTTGGGTATGATTTTGGGAGGTTTTATTTTATTGGTGAGGGTTATTAGTTGGGGGATTTAGGGAGTTGTGATAGTTAGTAGGAGTGGTGTTTTTTGGTATGGTTTTGTGATTGGGTGTGGTTGTAAGGGGGGTATGTGGTTTTAGGTGTGTGGAGTAGGGTTAGGTATGATGATTGGGGGAGAATGAGGGGGGATAGTGGTAGGTTAGGTAGGTATTGAGGGAGATGAGGTGGTTGGAATGATATTGGTATTGTTTGGCGGTTGATTGAGATAGGGGTATAGTTGTTATATGAATGATTAGAGGATTGAAGTAAGGAAAGGGGGGGGGTGGGTAGGGTTTGTTGGGTATTAGGGGTTTAAGAAGGATATGAGGTTAGAGGGGTTATTGTGGGGATAGGAGAGTTGGAATATGGAATGAATGAGGGGGTATGAGTTTGGTGATGATGTAAGATTGGTTATTTAATGGTTTTGGTTGTTTGGAGATGAGATGAATTAGGGAGTTAGGTTTGTGGAGGTTGAAAGGGGTAAGTTTATATTTGAGGTTTGTTTAGGGGGGGTTATTTAGAAGAGGGGATGTGTGGTGGTTATAGGTGATAAATTGGTGGTTGTGAATTTATATGTTGTATTGTTTGAGAAAGAGAGATGATTTTTTGTGTGAGGTGTAGGGTGGGTAATAGGGGGTATGAATTGTAGAGGATGTGTAGTGAGATGGAAGGGGGTTGAATAGAGTTGAAGTTGTTTAATGGTTGGGTTAGTACAAGTGAAGAAGATGGAGAGGATGAGGAGGGAAGGGAGATGTTGTTTGGTTTTATAAGAGGGGGGTATTGGAGAGAATGAAGAGATTTAATTATGTGTTGGATATGGGTGAAATTGTTAATGAAAGGTAGGAGTTATTTGGTAGGGGTAGAAGTGGTGAAATTGATGTTAGTTTATGTGATGAGGGATTTGGACATTAGAAGTGTTTTGAGGGTTAATTAGAAGTTGTGGATATGGAAGAAGAGAGTCTTGGGTTTTATGGGTAATAGTATGTGAGGGTGAGGGGAACAAGAGTTTGGTGTGGCGGGGGATTCGGAGTGTGTAGGGGAGGGTTTGTGTGTTGTGAGGGTTTAGAGGGAGGTGTGGGGATGATAGGGTTGGAAGGGGGGTGGTTGGGGAAGTGGGTTTGTTAAGAGGGAAGGGAAGAGGGGGTGAATAGGGTGTAGTTTTGTAGAGGTGGGATGGTGGTATAGTAGAAGGGGAGCGTGGGTAGTAATTGGTAGTGATTTTTGATGGGAGAAGGGGCGCATGGGTAAGGGGTTAGGTTAATAGGTTAAAGTGTGTTGAAGTAGTATCTTATTCTTTGAAGTGATGGGGAGAGAATAGTGAAGTAGAGGGAGGGGTATGGAAGGTATGGTGTTTGTTTTGAGTTGAGGTTAAGCATTTATGTGGGAGATGTGATAGAGTGCTGTTGAGTGGGGGTTGTAGGGTAATTTTAGGTTAAAGGTGTGATTGTAATGTGTTTTATAAATTAAGAATTTTTGGTTTGGTAGGAGTTGTTGAGGTGGGTGAAAATGTGGTTTTTTTTGGGGAATGTATTATTTTTTATTATGAATGAATATATTATTTTATTTGGTTGGGTAATAGAGTTTTTGGGTTTTTGTTGATTGGTGTTATGTTAATTTTTTATGGGGTTTTTGGTGGGTGGGGGGGGTGATTTATTGATTGGAATGGGGTACTATGGAAAGGTATTAAGAGGGTGTGTGGATTTGGTGGCTTTTTGGTGGGTTTTTATTATGGTAAGGAAAGTATTTAATTGAGTGGTGTTAGTGGGATTTTAAATGGATGGGGTAGATGACATGATTGGAGTTTCGGTGGGGGTGGGTGAGTTAAGGGGGAGGTGGGGGTTGATTGAAGGGAATTTATTGGAGATGGTAGTGAAATTTATGTAGAATTAGGGATTGTTAAAGTGATAAGGGAAAATAATGCAGGTTTTATTATGAGAATAATAGGTGTTAAAGATGAAAGGTTGGGATGGTGAGTTTTTCTATAGGGGATTTGAAAGGAAAGGTAGGGTAGTTATTTTGATTGAATGAAGGTATTAGTTGTGATAAATGGGTGAGAGGTTTATGGGTTTTTGGGGTAATAGGTTTATGGGGTGAAATAGAGATATGGGTATTAGGGGGTTTAAGGAGAGATTTTGATTAATGGTGGTTTAGGAAGGGGTCTAATATTAAGGATTTTTTATGATGTGGAATTTATGTTAGGGTTGGTATGGGTGAATGGTGGGGTTATATGGTTATGGGGGGGATTTGAGGTTTGTTTGGTTTTGGAGAATGGAAATTGGTATTTAGGAGTTTTGAATGGTAGTTTGTTGGGGGAGGGGTGTTGGGTTGGTATATTGTTTGGATAAGGATGTTGGAGAGGATAGGTAGTTTGAATATGAAGGGGGGGGTAGGTATGGTTTGATGGTGTTTGGGGGAATGGAGGGTTGGGTTGGGGGTGGGGTGAGGTTGTGGGGGAAATTTGTGGAGGGGAGTGGGGGAAATGAAGGTTGTTTGTGGGGGTGTTGGGTGAGGTGATTAAGTGGGGATATAATGGTATGGGGGATTGGGTTTTGTAGTGGGGGAGGAGTTGGTTATTTGGTTTTTGGGTTATGTTGGGGGGTTGGAAGGTGTATGGATGGGAGGGATAAGGGAGATATGGGGGGGGTAGATAAGGAGATGGTTATATGTGTTGATGGAGGGGGGGAGGGTATGTGAAATGAGGATTAGGAAGATGAATGGGTTGGTTATGGAGTGTGGTGTATAGATATAATGATATGATAAGAGTAATAGGTTGGAAGTATAATTTATGGATTGGGTATGGTAGTAGGAACGTAGTAGGAGGGTAAAGGGGGTTATAGGGTGTGTTTGGGGGAGGGGTTGGTGGTTGTTGGTGGTTGTGTATGGTGATTATGAGACACTGTTGTGGGAGGTGTGGTAGGTTGTTTTATGTGGTTGTTAGAGATAGGATAGTGGATAAGTTTGGTGGGGGATGGGGTGTGGAGGGGTTGATGGGTTGTGGTTGGTGTTGTGTATTGTTTGTGTTGTGGGCTGTTTGTGTGTTGTTAGGAGGTGGTTTAGTGGTGAGTGTAAGTGGTGTTGTAATGGTTATTGTGGGAAGTGTTTGTGTGGTTGTAAGGAGAGGTGGTTGTGATTGTGGGGTGGTGTGGAATAGTTTTTGTGAAGGTTGTTTTTAGAGGTGGGTATATGGGGGATGATAAAAGTTGAGTTGAGTGGTGATGGGGAGGTTGATGTTTTTTGGTGAGTTTGTGGGGGGGGTGGGTGGATTATGTAGTAGGTGGTTGGAGTTTGGTTATTTTGTGATTTTTGTTGGGGGGAATTGGGTGGTGTTTTGGAGTTGGTTAATGGGTGAAAATGAGATGGAGAATAAAGTGATGGGGATTGGGGGGTGGGGTTTTTATGGGTTGATTTGTAGGATAGTAGAGTTGTGTAGAGTTTGATGGATTGGGGGGGATGAGGAGGGGAAGAATGGTTGAATGGGGTAGTAGAATGTGGAGGGAAAATTTGTAAGAGGGAGGGATGATAGTGAATAAGAGTATGATTAAGAAGGTGATATGGGTGTGTGAGGGTTGGGTGTGAATGGTAAATGTATGGTGTGGGGGGGGAGTTTGGGTGGGTGATTTTTAGGGTTGTGGTTTTATTTGTTTGGGATGGTGTATTGGGATATTAGTTTTGAAAATATTTTGAAGTAAGGGTGTTTGAGGGAAGAGGGAGGAGGTGGGAGGTTGAGGGGGGTGGGTATGGGGAGTGTAGGGGGGAGGTGTGGAAATAGGTTGGTGGGGGGGGAGGAGGTAAATAATTTATAGTTTGAAAATGATTATTGAGTGGTGGATAAAGTTAATGTGGTGTATTGTTGAATGGGTTATTAAAAAGGGAATATTAAGGGGTTAGTGTTTTGTTTGGTGTGTGGAAGAGGTGTAGGGATATAAATGGATATGGGGAGGGGTAGAAGTAGTTGGGGATAGGTGAGTTATATGTTTTTGGAAATTATTAATTTGGGTTTTGGTTTTATGAGATAAAGATAAGTATTTTAAGAGTGTGTTTTAATATGAGGGATTTTGGGGGAGTGAGGGGGGTGAGTGGGGGGGATGGGTTAGGGGTGGGGGGGGGAGGGGGTTTGTTTGGTTTAGGAGGGTTTTGGTGGGAGGAGGAGGTTATTTGGAGAGAGTGAGGTGTGGTGGGGGAGGGATTTTGTGGTAGGTTTTGGGTGGTTTGATGTGGGGGGGGGGGGAGGGAGTGGTTATTTGTGGGAAGTGGTGTTGGATTAGTGGTTGTTGTGTGTGGGGGGTGGAAGTGGTTAGGGGGTGATATGTTGTGGGTGTTGATAGATGATGTTGGGGGTTTGTATTGTGGATGATGGTGGTTGGTGGTGAGGTAGTATAGGGGTTGGAGGTTTTGATGTGTAGTGTAATTATGATGGGTTTTTATGGGGGTTGTGATAGGTGTTGGTGGGTGTTGTATGTGTTAAGAGTGTTATGGTGGGATGGGAGTGGTGGTAAGGGTTGTTGTAGGTGTTTTATTATAAAGTTGTGTTTGAGTAAATAGGGGGGGGAGGTGGTTTTTTAAGGAGTTTGAAGTGTGGGGGGGGTGGGATTGTTTTGGTTTGTGGACGTTTAGGGGTTGTGAATTAAAAGTTGGGATTTTGTGATAGGTGGGTTATTTTGGATGGTATTTGTTGGGGGGGGTTTTAGAATTTTTGGGCGAATTTGGGTTATTAGGGATTGGGTTTTTAGTTTTTGTGGGTTGTAGTTGTGTAATGTTGGGGAAGTGGAATAATTTGTATGGGATGGGGTGTTTTATTATGTTTGTGGGGGGGATATTTGGTTTATTGGTGGTGAATAATTAAATATTTGTGATGGTATGGATTATGTTTGGTATGTTTAAAGGGTATGATGGGAAAGTTGAGATTTGAGGATAGTTTCGGATTGGATAGGGTGGTGGTTTGTTTTGGGGGAGTGTGGGTAGGGGAATGGTGGTTTTGTTTTGGAATGTTGGGTGGGGGGGAAATAATGTTTATATAGATATTTTTGAGATATGAGGGGGGGAAGGGGGGTTGGAGTGGGTGGGGGGGGTGAGTAGGTGGTAGGTGGTGAGTATTGGGATGTAGGTGGGGGTTATATGGGGGGGTTTGGGTTGGATGGGGTTGTGGGGTTGGATGAGACATGGTTTGATTATGTGGGGATTTTGGTGGGTGGGTTTGTTATGTGTGAGGGAGGGGTGGTATGTGGGGTGTGGGTGTGTTGGGGATAGGTGTGTGGGTGGTGGATTTGGGGGGGTAATGAATGTTTTGGGGTGGGGGTGGGGTGGGTGGGAAGTATTAATGATGTAGGGAGGGAGAATGTATGTTGAATTGGTTGAGGGGTTGTGGAATTTGAAGGAATGGAGATAGTTGTATGATGGGTAGTTTGGGTTTGGGGATTTTGTGTTTTGTTGGGGGTGTAGAGATTTGTGGGTGTATTTTATTTATTTGGGGGTGGTGTGTGGTAAGGGGTTGGGGGCTTGGTGTGGTGGGTTTGGGGTATGTTGGGAGGGGGTGGGGTTTGTGGTTGTGGTTGTGGGTTGTATGGGGTGGGAGGGATGGTAGATTTGGGGGAAGAATAGATGTATAAGTTTTGTATGGGTTAAAATGGGGGTGATAGTTTGGTTGTGTGTTTTTGTTGTGTTGTGGGGTGGATTTGGGGGGGGGGGGGGGGGTTGTGTTTTTTGGGGGGGTGGTGGAGGGGTGTTGATAGGTGTGTTGGGGGGGGGTAATTGGGGGGTATTGGGGTGGGGGGAAATTTGGGTTGATTTTTTTGAAGTGGAGGTGGGGAGGAGGGGTGGTGGGGGGAATTTTTAGGTATTTTTGGAGGTTGTAAGAGGGGTTTTGGGGTTTGGAAGGATTGGTTGGTGAGAGAGTAATGGTGTTTAGGGGGTGTGGTTGGGGGGTAAGGGGATGTGTATTGGATGTTTTTGAGTTTTGTAGTGGATTTTTGGGGGAGGGATGGTTAGGTTTTTGTTGGTGGGTTAATATGGTAGAAATTGGGTTGGGGGGGAGAGGGGGGGGGGGGTAGGGGGGGGGAGGTGTATGGGGTGTGGGTGTGTTGTTTGTTTTTGGGGTTGGGGTGTGAAGAGGGGATTTAAAGGTGGGGTGTGGATTAGGTTAGTTTGTAGGAATTAGAATGGAGGAAATAGAAGTGGGGGGTATGATTGGAGGGTGGGTGGGGGTGTTGATGTTGGTATGGGAGGGTGGGGGGCGGGGGGGGGGGGGTGTATTTGGGGGAATCATTTGTTTTTGTTTTTTGGATTATGGGGTGATAATTGTTGGATAGAGATGGGGATTGGGGGTTGGGGTTTTTATGTATTAGTGTGTGGTGGAAAGGGGGGGGTGAGGAGTGGGGGGGGGAAGAGATAAATGTGGGAATTGTATTATATTTTGTGGGGGGTAGTAATGTAATATGGGGGGGATATTGGGGGGATGTGGGGGATAGGTTTGGAGTGATTGGGGTTTTGTGGGTGGTGGTGGTAGGGTTTTAAAGGTGTTGGGGATGAAGGTTGATAGGCGTGTTTAGGTTGGAGGGTTGTGTGGGGAGAGTATATATGATGGGTGGGTGTGAAAGGGTTTAAAGGGTAAGTGGATATTTTATATATGAGGGGATGTGATATGATTGATGTGGTGGGAATGAGATAATAGGAAAGTTTTGGTATATGGTGGTTGTGTGTGGTGGGAAAGAGTGGGTTTGGAAGAGGTGGAATGTTTGGATATTAGATGTGGATGGGTGGGGGTGGTAAAAGAGAGGTAGTGGAGATGTAATATGGATGTGTATTGGTAGGAAGGAGGGGTTGGAGGTAGGGGTTGGGTAAGAGGGGGTGGTGTGTGGGAAAGGGTAAGATAGACTATGTAGGGTGTTGGGGGGGGGGGGGAGGAGGGGGAGGATATGGGGGGTTAAAGAAGTTTATGGGTATGGATATAAAGGATTAAGAGGGGTGGTTGGGTGGGATTGATATGTAGGGGATAAGGAGTTTTTAGAGGAAATTGATTTGGATATGGATTGAATATTGGTGGGTAGTTTGGGGGAGATAGTTATAATTATGGTGATTTGTGTTGTTAATAGTTAGTTAATGATGTGGTGTTAGGGTTTTATGGGGGTTTTGGGGGTGGTTTAATTTTTTTGATTTTTGGATGATGGTGGATTTGAGTGCATAGAAGATATGAAAGGAGAGGAGAGGTATTTTGAATAGTGTCTTTGGTAGAGGGGGAGATGTGGGTTATTGATAGTTGTTGATGGGGTAAAAGTATTGGGGGAGAGTGTGATTTGGGTGGTATGGTGGGGTAGTGTGATGTTAGGGTTCGGATGTTTTATTGGGTCGGAGATATAGAAGTTGGTGGTTATAGGTGTGGTTAGGTTTGTGGGGGGTTGTGATAAATGGGGGGGGGTAAAAGTTGGTTTTGAGGGGGGGTGTAATGAGGGGGGGTTAATTGATGTGGTGGAGGTGCTTATTGTTTGGTGATAGTGGGGGGGGAGGTATGTGGGGTGATGGGAGGGATGGGGGTATGGGAATTGAATAGGGGGAATTGAATTGGGGGTTTGATGATGGATAAATGGGGTTTGAGGGAAATTGTTGACGTGGGATGGTGGGGTGGGGTTATAATTGGTGTTGTGGGAAATGAGGGATGGGTTTGGGAATTGAAAGGGTAGGGGGATGATAATTGTGTAATGTGTAGGAGGGGGGAGTGGTGGGAAGACAGGGTAATATTGGGGGTGTTTGGGGGTAATGAGTAGGTGAGGTGGGTGATGTGAGGTGTTGGGGGGTTGAATAATTTGGTGTGTGAAGGGGGGTTAGGGAGAGAGGGGGGGAATTGGTTGTTAGAGAGGTGGGTGGGGTAGTTAGATGTTATGAGGGGAATGATGAGAGAAGATAGGGAAGGATGGGATATTGGGTGATATGATGGAATAGTAATATTAAGGATGATGAGGGTGGGATAAGTTTTAAGAAGAGTAAGAAATGATGGATTATGAGGGTATTATTTAGAGAGAGGATTTAGGAGGTGGGGGTGTTGGAAGGTATTTTGGTGTAATGATAGGGTGGGGTAGAGGGTGGGGTATGATTATAGGGATATATGTTTTGTGTGTGGAGGTGAGGGGAGGGGTTAGGGGTTGGTAATGTGTGTGGTGGATTATATGAAAGATGTGGGGGGGGGGGGGGGGGGGGGGGGATGTGTGGCTGGGGGGGGGGGGGGGGGGGGGGGGGCTGGGAGGATGGTAGATTGGGGTTTGGTGTGAAATTATGGGGGGTGGGTGTAATTTTGTGATATAAGATTGGAAATGGATTTATTTGGTAAGGTGAGTGTTGGGGGGGGATTTTGTTTTTATTGTTGATGTGAGGGGGTTTGTCTGATGTGATAGGGTTTGGTTATTTTGGATTATATATAGGGAATTTAGGGTAGGATCGATATGAAATGTGGCGCTAGGGGGGGTATGGATTATAATGGGGGAATGTTAATATAATTTTTGGTGAATATGATTTATATGGGATGGTGGGGTGATGGTGTGGAGGGGAGAATGGGGTATGGAATGGTGAAGATTGGGGTTGATCTTGGTTGTGGGAGTGGGGGTTTGGGTATGGTTGTTTATTATACATTGTTATTTTGTTTTATTGGTTGTTTGTGTGAATCTTTTTTGTTGATTGGGGGGGTTGGAATTTTGTTGTTTTGTGGGGTTAGTGGGGAGGATGAGATTATTATAATGGGGGGGGGGGGGGAGATTGTGTGTGATAAGGGATTGGGTGGGTGGAAAGTGGGGGTTATTTATGGGTGTTTGTAAATTTTTTGGAAATTTTTGTGTATTATGGGGTAGGGGGAATGGGGGAATTGTGTGGAGGGTGGGAATTTTTTTAGCGGGTAATGACGAGGGGTAAGGGGGGGTGTTTAGATTTTTTTTTGGGGAGAGTAAAGGTGAGTTAAAGGTTGGATTGTGTAGATGTTGGGGTTAAGGTTATAATAACAATTAAGGGGTTATAAGTGAAAGAAAGAGTTTTATAGAGGTAGGGAGGGAGGGAAAAAATTTTGTTGTTAATTTTGTATTATGGTTTGTTGTAGGAAGGGGGGTGGGGTGGGGGGGTTTGTGAAGAGGAGTATTTATGGGGTTGTATTTTTGGTGGTATGGGGGTGGTGGATTGGATTTGTTGTTATATTTGTGGGGTTGTTGGTATTGAAAACAGGGGGTGGTATTTATGGTGTTTGGGATTATGGTTTAGGTTGGTTGGTGGGGTGGGGGGGGAATTTATGGAGAAGTGGGGGTGGGTAGGGGTATACTGGATGTTATTTAAGGGGGGTGAGAGAATATTGGGTTTGGGTAATAGGTGTGGTGGAGGTGAGGAGAGGAGGGAGGGGATTATAAGACTGATAAGTCTGTTGGTAGGAAGGGTGGGATTTAGAAGTGGGTGTATGTTTTATATATTTGATTATTAGGGGTAGTGGTTTAAGTTGGGGTGTATTGATTTGTGATAGAGGTAAAGTAGGGGTGATGGGGTTTGTGGTGATAATTTTGTATGGTGGTTGTTAGAGGGGGCGTTTGTGGGGAATGCGTGTTGTGTTGAGGGTTAAGGACTATTATGGTATGTCAGATGAGGTTTTTATGGGGGGTATTACGAAAGATATGAAATTTTTATGGATTTGATGATCTGTTTTTTGTTTGTTGATTTGTTTTGATTTATTTGTTGAGGGGGGTGGGGGGGTGGGGTAAATATTGAGTTGTGTGGGTTGGAGGAAGGGTTAGAAAGTTTTTATAGACAATGTGTTAATATGGGGAGGTTGTTGTAAGGTAGGTTAGTGTGGTTGTGGGGTTATGAATGGATTTGGTGGTAGGTGTGAGAAGGGTGGGGGGTTGGTGGGGTATGGGAGGGGGGGGGTGTTGTGGAGGGATAAGATGGGTGATTTTAGAGAGGTGGGGGGGGGGATAAAATGTTTTAGGTGGGGGGTATGTGGTTTTGAAGGGATTGTGTGGTGGGATTTTGAGGGGGGTGATTGGAATAGATAGGGGATAGGGGAAGGGGGTTGGGGGTGGGGAATTAATTATTGAGGTTGTATTGGGGGGTTTGTGGGGGTGTAGGGGGTAGGGTTTTGGAGGTGATGGTTAAGAGGTGTATTGGGTATTGGGATGGGATGTAATTGTTTATATGTTTGTGTGGGTTGGTGTGATGAGTGGGGTGTATTTTGGGGGGGGGTGAGAGGTGGTATGGGTAGGGGTGGTTGTTGTTGGGTGGTTGTGTATTGTGATTATGGAGGTTTTGTGGTGAGTGTGGGTAGGGTTTATGTGTGTTAGAGATGTGGATAGGGAATGAGTTTGGTGGGGGGGATTGGTGTGAGGGTTTGGGTTGTTGGTGGTGTTGTGTAGTTGAGGTTGGTTTGGTGGTTTGGGGTGTTTGTTGGTTGTTGAGGAGGGGTTTATGTGGTAGTGTATATTTATGGGGTGTGGAATAGTATTGTGGAATGAATGTTTGGTTTTAGATAAGGGGTTTTGAATGTGGGGTTGTGAAATATTTTTGTGGAGGGTTGTTTAGGAGGAGTGTATAGTGGAGGGGATGATAATATAGAGTTTGATGGGTGATGTGGGGGGGTTGGATGTGTTTTGGTGAGTTGTGGGTGGGGGTGGTTGGATTTATGATTAATGGAATGAAGTTTGGTTATTTGTTGAATTTGAATATGAGGGTGGTTTGGAGGGGGTGGGGATGAGTATGGGATAGGAATGAGGTGGAGTATGGGGGTTGGGTAGGGGTGGGAGTGTAGGGGAGGGAAAGTGGGTTGGGTGAGGATGATATTTGAGAAAAAGGGAAATGGGGGTATGTTGTTGGAGTGTTGTATAGAGTGAATGGGTGGTGGTTGGTGAATTGGGGGGAAATGGGGGAGGGGATATGGTGAGTGGGGTTGTTAGGGGTGTATCTTTTATAGGGGAAGAGTGGAAGTAGGGGGGAGGGTTTCAGTGAGGATAGGGGGAGTTAATTTGGGAAAATTTTTTTGATTGGGTTTAGTTGTATAGAGTTAGATGATTATTTTTGAGGATGTTGGAGGGGTGGGGGGGGGGTGGTGGTGTGGAAAGGGATGAAGTTAGGGGGGAGGAGGTTTGAAGGATGGGGAGGTTTGAATATGTAGTAAAGGAATATTTAGAGAAGGAGAGATGAAGAAGTTAGAGAAGATGTAAAATAGAGGGTACTGATGAGAGTGGGATTAGAGAAAGTGGGGATGATTAATATTATAGTTGGGGAGATTTATATGGGTAGAGAAGTAGAGATGTTGAAGGGGTTAATTATGGAAATTTTTGGGGGAGTGGGAGAGTGGAAGATGAGTGGGTTTGTTGGGGGTTTGGGGAATGTGAATTTGGAGGTTAGTGATGGGAGGTTAAGTGGGTGGATGATGAGTTGGGTGGTTGTGATTAGGGGGGTAGTTTGGTGGGGGGGTGGGGGGGGGGTGGGGGTGGTTGTGGTGGGGGGGGGGTGGGGGTGGGTGTGGTAGGTTTATGGGGAGATGGATTGGTTATTTTGTGGGTAGTAGTGTGGGTGGGGTTAGGGGGAGGGTTGGGGGGGTTTTATGGGTGGTAGATGGGGGGGTGAAGTGGTATGATGGAAGTGGGTTTATTGGGTTGTGAGGTGTGGAAGTGGGGGGGGTTGTGGGTTTGAGTGATGTGGGGGTTGGGGGATTGGGTTGGTGGGTGTGGATGTGTAATGGGTGTTGTGAGGTTGTGGAGGTGTTTGTAGGTTTTTGGGGTTAGTTTGTAGGAGGGGGTTGTTTGTTGTAGGTGGTGTGGGTGTTGTATGTGTTATTGTGTTCTGTTGGGATTGATGTGGTTTGTATGGTGGTGTAGGTTATTTTTTTAGTTGTGTTTGGGTAATATTGTGGTTTTTTTGTGTTGTGGGGTGAGGTTTGGATGTTGGGAGGGTTGGAATATGTGATTGTTAAGGGGGTGGGGTTGGAATTAATTGATAGGGATGGTTGGTGATAATAGGTATGGGTGATGGTGTAGATGTAGGGTTTTTATAAGAGGAGAGTTTAGGACAGTTGTGTGTATTATTGGAATGGGGGTGGTTAAAGTATGAGATGTTGTGTATAGATAGATAGTAGTTAGGGTTAGAGGAGGGTATAGGGGGGGGGGGAGTTGTTTGGTTTTTGTAGTAGGGTTATTGGGGTTATATAAGGTGGAGGGTATTATAGTGAGTTATGTGATTGGTGGATTTTTGTGGGCGTTGGATGGAGTTATTGGTTAGTTTTGTCTGTGGGAATTTGTGGATGGTGAATTTGTTGTTGATGGTTAAAGGTTTTGAGGAGATAGTAGGGGTTGTTATATTTAGGTAGGGTAGATGTTTGGAGGGTGTGTGTTGGGTGGGGGTGAGGTTGAGTGATGTTTTAGATGGGGAGGTGAGGTGGTGTGAGGGATGAGTTGTAAGGGTGGGGTTGGGTGTGGAGTATTTTAGGGGTAAAGGTGTTTTGTAGGTTGTAAGGTTGAGTGATGGGAGGGGGGTTGTGTTTGAATGGGGGTTGGAAGGGATGGGGAGGATTTGTAAGGGAAATGATAGGGGGGGTTGGGGGTATGAGTGGGGTGGGGTTGGGGGGGGGGTGTGGTTGGGGGGGTTGGAGATTAGGAAATGGGGTGTGGTGGTTAGTTTGTGGGGTAGATGGTTATAGGGGGTGATTTGTATATGGGAAGGGAGTATGGTGGGGTGGGTTTTTGGGTGGTGAGGGAGGGTTGGGGTGGGTTGTGTGGGGGTGTTTGTTGGGTTGGGGTGTGGGATTTTTGTGGGTGTGGATGGTGGGTTTTGGGTTAGTTGTTGTGTGTTGTGGTGGGGGTTGGTTGGGGGGTGGGTGGGTGGGGTGTGGGGGGGTGGTGTTTGGGGGTGTGGGGATTTGTTTGGGGGGTGGGTTTTGTGGGTATTTATGGGTTGGGTGGTTTGGGTTTGTGGGGATTTATGTTGGGTGGGTGGTTAGTTTTTTAGGGTTGGTGGTTGTGGGGGGGGGTTGGGGTGTTGTGTGGGGGTGGGGGTTGGGTTGGGGGGGGGGGGGGGGGGGGGGGTGGTGGGGGGGGGGAGAGTTGTTGATGTGGGGGAGTGTGTGGGGTGGGTGTGTGAGTGATTTTTGTGGTTGGTTGTGGGGGGGGGGGTGTGTGGGTGGGGTGATGGTGGGGGGGGTAGGTGTTTTTGTGGGGTTTAGTTGTAGGGTGTTATTGGGGGGGGATGTGTGTGTGGGGTGGGGAGTAGGGATGGTTGAGTTTAGGTATTGTTAGTAGGGAGGAGTATTTGAGAAGGTTGGGGGGGGTGAGGAGAGAGGGGAATTGGGGGGGATGGAAATTTTTTTGTTTGGAGGATATGGGGGTGTTGGATGGGGGGGGGGTTGAATATGAGGTTATGTAGGAGGAATTTTAGAGATTGGTGTGGTGTAGGTTATGGTGTATATGTGATTGATTGGGGTGGGTATGTGATATTGGATGTATATTATATTGGATTTGAGGGTTATGTTTTGTGATGGTTAGTGATGTTTGTTATATTTATGAGTTTTTTGTCTTTGAGTTTTTGTTTTGAAAGATTGTGATTTAGTTTATTTAGAGTGGTATGGGGGGTTTATGGGGATTTGGGGAAGGAATATGAGGATGGTTGGTGGGATATTGGGGTATTATGTGGGTTTTAGGATTAGAAAAATGGGGTGGAGATAGATAGTTAGTGAATGAAAAGGAAAGATGAGGATGAGGGAGATGGGGTATTTATGGAGATAGTGTGTGGGGGGGGGATTATGTTGTTGGGTTTTTGGTATTGGAGGGGGGTTTGGAGGGGAGAGGGTTTATTCGTATGAGTGTTGGTGTTAGGGTTGTTGGGAGTGATGGATAAGGGGAGTGATGTGTATTGTAGATGTAGGATGTGGAAGGATGGAGGGGATAGGGGGTAATAGTGATGTTTGTGTATGGGGATGGGAGTTGGGGGGGGGGTTGTGTGTGTGGGTGTGGGTGTTGGGGGGGGGTTTGTGGGATATATTGGGGGTTGGGGATTGATTTGTGTTTTGGGTGGGGGGGTTGTGTTGGGTTGGGATTGTGGGGGGGTGTGGGAGTATTGGGGGTAGTGGGGGGGATGGGTTGGGGTGGTGGTGGGGTAGGAGTGGGTTTGGGGGGTGGTGGTGTGGTGGTTGGGGTATTGTTGTGGTTATGATTGTTTTGGTTGGTTGGTGAGTGGTGGGGGGTTGTGGTTGTGTGTGGTGTTATTTTTATTGGTTGGGGGTATTGGTATTTTTTGGTGTATTTGTGTTTTGGGGATGGGGAGGTGGTGGTGGGGGTTGGTAGGGGGGGGGGGGGGTTGGTTGGAGTTGGGGATGGTGGGTGTATGTGGGTTTGTAGGTTGATGGTTGGGGTTTGATTTGGGTTTGTTGTGGGTGTTGGGGGATGTGATTTTGTGGGAGTTGTGGATGAGGGGTGTAGGAGGGTATTGTATGTGGGGTGTGTGTGGAGTTGGGTGTTTTGGTGGGGTATAAAAGTGTGAGGGGTGGGGGGATGGGGGGGTGGTAAGAAAGTATATGGGGGTATTGATATTTGAATGTATTAAATTTTGATAATAGTATAGTTGAGATTGGGGTTTGTTAGGGGGTATAGAGATTATTTGTTGAGTGGGGTGGAGTGTGGATGGTTAGTGTTTATTGGGTTGGTGTTATTGGGAGGTGGTAGGGGGTTGTTTTTTTTTTGGGGGGTGTGGGGGGGGGGGGTTGTTTATATTGGGGTGGGTAATAGGGGGGATTGAGTGTGAGGTTTAAGTGGTTGTGTGGGTTGTTTTTTGGGGGTATTGGGGGTATTGTTAAGGTTGGGTTTGTTGTTGTTGATGGGGGGGGGGGTATGAGGGTATTGTTTGTAGTGGGTGTATAGGTTGATTAGTTTATGGGTAGTTGGTAGTGTGTGTAGGTGTTGTGGTTGTTGGTGTGTTTGAGGGGGGTTGTGGTTGGGGGTGATTGGGGGGGGGGGGGTTGGGGGGGTTGGGGGGGGGGATATGGGGAGTTGGTGATGTTTTGGGGGTGGGGTGTTTTTTGGGTGTTATTGATGTTGTGGGGTAGGGGTGTTGTTTTGGGGTGGGGGGGTGTGGGGTGGGGGTGTGGGGATTTTGGGGTTGGTTGATTTTTGATGGATTTTTGGGAGGTGGGGGAGAATTGAGTAATTTAGAGAATTTTGTTTAGGTTGGGGTGGTTAAGGGGAGTGTTTAGGGGTGGCGGAAGTGAGTGAGCTTATTAGGTCAGGGTTGGAGGAGTGGTGACATGGGTGGTGGGGGTGTGAGTGGGTAGGAGGTATTGTTGTTGGGAAGGGGGAGGGAATATGTTGGGTGTATTGTAGGAGGGGGATGATTTGGGGAGTTCTTTGGTTGGTATGAAGGGTAAGGGTCTTTGAATAGTGTATTGATTAAGGAGTAGTAGGTGTGTTAGAAGATATGTAGGTGAGTTTTGATATGAGAGAGGTAGGGGGTAGTTGGTATTTAGTGGTGGTGGGATAGTGAGAGGTGTGATGGGAAAATGGTTGGGTTGTTGTAATTTAGGGGTGGGGGGGATGGAAATAGTAATTATGGTGGTTTGGTATTTTGTGGTTTTGGGGGGTAGGTTTTTTTAGGGGTTGATGGGAGTGGTGGATTAGTTGTGTAAGTTTAGTTTGGTAGTGTTAGGAATTGGTGGGGTGTTGATATTGATAGGGTTGTGGTGGAGGTTAGGGGTATTTTATGAGATGTAAAGTTTATGGTCTTATGTTTTTGTAGAAGTGGCTTTTTTTTTGAAGGGGTTGGTGGGGAGATGTGTTAAGAGGAGATTATGGGTTTGGAGGGTGGGATTTTTTGTTGTGGGGTATTAGTGGTTGTAAGATGTTGTGTGGGGTAGAATTTTTTTTTGATAGTGTGGTTGGTGTGTGGAAAATGGGTTGTTTGTAAATTAGGTAATATGTTAAGCGTAATTTGTGGGTTATTTGTGGGTTGATTTGGGGAGGGGTTGTGGGATATTATTTGTTTGAAAGTGTTGGTAGATAATAGGTTAAAGTAGTTAGGGTTGGGTAATAATGATTGGAGTGTTTATGTAGGGGTAATGGGATAATGGGGGGTATTTAGGATATGAGGATTTATTGATGGGATGGAAGGAGGAGGTAGGGAAAAGGGGAGGGAAGATAGTAAGTGGGAGGGGTTTGAGGATGACATTAGTGAGATGAAGGTAGATGAGGAGTTTTTGAGGTAATTTGGATGGTTGAAGGGGGGGGGAGGGTAGAGGGGATATTAGAGTTATATATTGTTTTGAGGGGGAGGTGGTTTAGAGGGAGTACTAGTTGGTGTTTTATTGTGGGAGAATTAGAGTTGTTAGTGGGTTGTTTTTTTGATGATTAGTGTTTTGGAGGTTGGTACATTGAAATTGATAAGTGGTTTTTGGTATTGGTGGGGTATTTAAATTGGGGGGTTTGGGTAAGTATGTGTATGGTTTTTAGGGGGATTTGTGGATTGTATTTATTGGGAGGTAAAAGTGTAGGGAGTGATTGGGAGTTGAGGGGGGAGAAGGGGGGGAGGAGTTATTGTGGATATGTGGGGGGGTTATGTTATTTGTATTTGTTTTGGGTAAAGGATGTATATTTGTGTATTTATTTTTGGGGAGGGGGGGGAGATATTAGGGATGGTTGGGTGGTGGAGTTGATGTGTATTTTTTGGTGGTGGATAATTGGAGTTTAGGGGATGATTATGTTGGGGTGTGTTTGTAGGGGGGGTGGGACATGGGGATGGAAGTTTTGAGGTTTGGAATGTGTGGGGGTGGTAGTTGTGTATTTGGGTATATATATATAAATAGAGATATATATATATATATATATAGATAGATATTTATAGTATGTTTTTTTAGGGGGGGGGGAGATATGAACAGGGGGATGGAAGGTAGTTGGGGGTGAAAAGTAGTATGAGTAGGTTAGGGTGAGGGGGGGTTAGGTTATTAGTGAAGTTGGTGGGGGTTTTGGTGGGGATGGGGAGGGTTTGAGATATGTGAGTTAGTTTTGATTGTTGGGATTAGGTTTTATTATTGGGGGGAGTTGAGGGGGTAGGAGTTTATTATTTGGTCTAGGAGGGGTGGAAGAAAGTAGTGGTAGGATGGGGGGGGTGTTTTTTTAATGGATTTGGAGGGTTGGGGAGGGGGGGGTGTGTGTTGTTGGGGGTTTTGGTAAAGGAAATAGTAGTTAAATGGGTGTTATGTTTGTATTATGTTGAAATATATTGGTAGGGTTTGGTTGGTGGGTATGTGGATGTATAAGGAATATATATTATTTTTGTAGAGGAGGGGTATAAAAATAAGTGTAATGTATTGAGGATGGGGGGAGGAGAATTTGATGGAAGAGAATTGGTGATGAGTTGTTGGAGTTGGTGTGGAGTATGTTGTTGGGAGGGGAGGTAAGGTAATTCATTAGGGTTTGATTGTATATTGAAATGGTACAGGAGGGTTGATAGTATGGATTGGTATTTGTTAAGGATGTGTAGATGAAATGTGTATGATTAGGTTTAGTGGGAATAAGGAATGTGTGTGTTTGAGAGGGTGATTATATTAAGATAAAGATTTTGGTGGGGAAGGTGTGGTGGGGGGGGGGGGGTGAGAAAGATGTGAATATTGGGGAAGTTGGTCAGGAGTGAAGAATGAGAGTAGGAGGGATATTTTGGGGTGGGGTGAAGGGATTGTATTGGAAATGAATTGAGAGGTTTGTAGATTTTGTTTTTTTTGAGGGGGATGAGGGTTAAGGTTGTGGTTATTGAAGATAGGGGATTGGGGGGTTATGGGTTTAAAAGGGAGTGTGTAAGGATAATTGGTAGTGGGGGGTGGGTTGTTGTAAAAGGAATTTTGTTTGTTGGGTATAAAATGAGGTAAAAGTTAATGGGGGTTGGGGGGTCTGGATGTATAATATTTTAGGTGAAAGATGTGGAATTAAGGGAGTGTTTTCATCATATGGTTTGTATATTGTTGGGGTAAGAGGGTTATATGGAGGTTAACTTTTTGTTTAGAACTTCGAGGGGTTATAGTTTATATGAATTAATGCGCATATTTCATAGTGTGGACTAATTATAATGGAATTTATAGATGAGTAATAGGGTTAGGGGTTGTGTAAGGGGGATGTTTAATGTTTATTGTTAGTGTCAATGGGATGATTAACAGTTAAGAAGAATATAAATAGAAGCTCTCACAATATAGGGGTATAAAATACTGTGTGTTTGTTGTTTATTGGAGTGGTGTTGATAGATGATTAGAGACAGCAAATGATGGTACATTTTTAAGATTATATCAGATTGTATATTATAAATAGAGAAAAGATAATAAGAGTAAAAGAGTATTAAGTGGGGTAGGGCCGTGGATAATGGGTTTTTCAAGTGGGGGGAGTGAGGGACAGGTTTTTATTAGAAAGTTGGATTGATGGGATTTTAAGAGGTGATGTGGTGGGGGGGGAGGTAATGTTTTATAGGGGAAGGGTTGATGACAAAGGGTAAGAAATATTTATGGGGATGGTATATGAGTTGTGAAGAATGGGGGGTTTGCTTGAGCGGATATTTAGCATGAAAATTGTTGAGGGAAGGGAAGGGGATGAGGGGGGTGAAGAGATTATTATTATTAGTGTTTATGTTTATTTGGTGAAAAATGGAAGTTTTTTTTTTTTTTTTATTTTTTTTTTTTTTTATAGGTTGGTTTGTTATGGGGAGATGTGGTTGAAGGTTTGAGGGAGAGTTTTATTAGGGTGGTTTTAGATAGGTAAGATAGGGGGTGGTTATGAGTTGTTTGGTTTGGTGAGAGATGAAATTTATGAAGAGTGAGGTTAGGGGATTGTGGAAGGATGAGGGGGGGTTATATGAGATTTTTATTAGGGGAATTGAGGGGGAAAGAGGAATGTTTTAGTGGGGGTTAGAGGTTGGGGGAGTGAGGGGGGAGGGGGTGGGGGGGAAAGGGGGGTGAGGGGGGGGGGGGGGGGGGGGGGTGTAGTGGGTAATGAGAGGGAGTGGAGTGATAGTAAGAGATAGATGATTAGGGTGTGTGGTGATAGGGGGGGGTTGTGTGGGGGGGAGAGGGGTTGGATAATGGAGGTATGGTGTGGGGAAAGGGGGGGTTGAGGGTGGGGTATGTTGGGGTTAGGTGTGTTTAATAAAGGGGTTGAGTTGGTGTTTGATTGGTTGTGGGTGAATATAGGGGGGTGGGGTAAGGATGGGATGGGGGTAGGTTATTTTGGGGGGGTTTGTTGGAGGGTGTATAGAGGGGTTTATTTTTGTTTGGGGTGATTTGGTGGGGGGGTTGAGTAGGAGAGATGGTAGGGTATTTGGGGGGTTGTTTATTTGTTTACAGGTAGGGGTAAAGAGGGTTATGGTGAAGTGGGGGGGATAATGGAGAGTAATATTTTGTATTTAGTGGGGTTGGGGGGGGGGGGGGGGGGGGGGGGGGGGGGGGGGGAGATGAGTGTTGTTGTGGGGTTGGGGTTGGTGTTGTGTTTTTTGGGTGGGTGGGTGTGTGTTGGGGGGTTTGGAGTTTGTTGTTGTGGGAGGAGGTGGTGTGGTAGTCTTGTGATGGGTGTTAGATGGGTGTGATTTTTTTTAGATTTGGGGGCTTAGGGGAGGGGGTTGGTTAGGTTGTTGGGTTATTTGGTGAGTGTGGTGTATTTGGTTTTTGTGGTTGATTTTTTGTTGGGTGGTGTGGATGGGGTATTGGTTGGGGGGGGGGGGGGGGTGGGGTATTTGTTGTTTGGAGGGTTTTTGGGTGGTTTGGTTGTGGGTTGTGTTGGGGGGGGGGATGTGGTGGGGTTTTTGGGGTTGGGTGGGATGTGGTAGTGAAGAGGGGGGTGTGTGTATTGTGGGGTTTATTAGAGTAAGTTAGAGGGGGTATATGGTTTTTGTTGAGTATAGGTGTGTGGAGATTTTATTTTTGGGGTTGTTTGGAGTGTATGGGTGTGATAGTAGGATAAGGTTCTTTTTGTTATGTGTATTAGAGGAAGGAGATGGGGGTTTAATTATTAGGGGGGGTGGGGGGAAAGGAGATTTATTGGGGATTGTGTGATTGAGGTGGTATGGGGGGGGATGGGGTGGAAGGGGGGATGTTGGGCTATAGAGGATGTGGGATAGGGAAGATTGAGGGTTTTTGGGGGGTGAATGTTTATTTGTTATGGTTTAGATAGTGGAGGTGATGGGGGGAATGTATTTTTAAATTTGAAATGTTTTAGAGGTGTGTGTTGACATTGAAGTTGGGGAGGGGGGTGTATGATATTTGGAGGGTAATTTTTGGGGGGGGGGGTTGAGGTTTTTGTTGTGGGGGGTTTTGTGGGATAAGGTTTGATAATTAGTTTTGGAATGGGTATTAATTGTTGAGTGGATGTTGGGGTTTAAATTTGTTTATAAATAAGGGATGAAAATTATTGGGGGGTGAAGTAAATTTTGGTGAGGGTTTTGTTTTGTGGTAGGGGATAATTTTATATTTGGTTGGTATGGGTGGTGGGGGGGGGGGGGGGGGGGGGGGGGGGGGGGGGGGGGGGGGGTAGGTATTGTGAAATTAGTGTTTTTGATGATTTGGATTGGGGGTGGTTATGTATAGTGAGTGGATGTGTGAGTGATTGTTGTATAAATGGTTTTTTTTTGTTTTTTTTTTTTTTTGTGGGGGGGTTGGTGTGGGGTGGAGGTAGGTAGATGTGGGGGGGGGGGATGGGTTTGTATGTATTTGGTTTGATGTTGGGGGGGGTTTTATTTTAATGATGATAGGGAAGAGGGGGGTTGTGAGGGTTGGTTGGTTTTGAGGGGGGGGGTGAGGGAGTAGGGGAGATTATTATGTAGGGGGTTGGAAGGGGATGATATTTTGGATTTTGTTGGATTGGAAGGGGAATGATTTATTTGGGAATGGAGATAGGGAGGATAGAATGAGGGTTATTTTAGGGGAATGTGAGTAGGTTAAGATGGGAATTATTGGGGGGTATAAGTAAGGAATAGAGGGGGAAGGAGGTGGATAGGGTTGAGAGGTGTTGTATATGGTAGGGAGTGAGGGGTGGGGAGGGGGTGTGTATTGAGATGGGGTGAGGGGATTTAGGAGATAGAGAGAATTGAAGGTATGTATATGTAGGATAGGAAGTTGTGAAAGGTATGTGGGTTTTTATGAGGAATGTGGGGAGGGTGGAGGGGATGTGATTGGTATAGTTATGTTTTTATTTGGGGGTTGATATAGGGTTGTAGGGGAGGGGATATAATGGAGGAATTGGATGGTGGTTGGGTTGTGGGTTGAATTGTGTTGTATTTTGTTTTTGAGTATTTGTTGTAATGGAAAGGGTGAAAGGGTGTAGGATTGGTGGATTAGGGTAGTGTGGGGTTTAAGAGGGAGGAGTGGAATTGGGGTGGGGGGGATTGAATTGGTAATGAGAGGGGTTGGTGTGTGATGGTGAGGGTTTGTGAGGGGTTAAGTTGTAATGGGGTGTGATTTTATGGGGAGGTTGTTGTTGGTTAGGGGTGTGGGTATAGGGTTTGGTGGTGGGAAGGGGTTTGAAGTTGGAAGGTTGTGATTAGGGTGGGGTTGTTTTTAGTGGGTAAGGTGGAATTGTGGTTGGGGGATTTGTGGTATGGAGGGTTATGATAGGTAGGGGTATGGGTGTTGGGGGTTGGTTTTTTGTTGATTTGTATGGGGGGGGTGGATGGTTGGGTGGGGGTTGGGGGTGGGAGAATTGAAAGATAAGTGATGAGGGGAGATTGGTGTGATTTGATAGGTGGATGGGTGAGGGGTGTGGATTTTTGTGGGTTGGTGTTTGGTGGTGGGGGTGTTGGGGTGGTGTTGTTGTTGTTTTTGGATATAGGGGGAGGAGTTAAAATTTTTATTTAGATGGGGAGTGGGGGAATGGAGTTGGGGGGTGGAATGGGATTTGAAGGGGGTAGTGAGGGTTGGTAAGGGGGATATGGTGAAGTTTAAGAATAATAAAATAGGTAAGTGAAATAGATTGGTAGAGGGGGGTGGGGTTTTAAGATGATTTGGGGGGGATGGGGATTTGAATGAGTGGAAGGTGTTGATGTGTATGGGTGGGTGTGTGGTGGTTTTAGGAAATGTTGGAATTAATGGGTTGGGATAGAAATTGAGGTATAGTGGATAGGGGGGGAGTTTGGAAGGAGGTGGTTTATTGGTTTATAGAGGTGGGGAAAATAAGGGTTAAGAAGAGAGAATTAAGGAAAGTTATTTTGATTTGAAGGTATTAAAGGAAGGGTAGAAGTGAGGATTTAGATGTGAGAAGATAAGGAAATATGGGTTTGAATTAATAGGTAAAGGTAGTAGGGGAATGAGAGTAGTTATAGCAGAATGAGGGTAGTGGTGGAGTGTGGGGTTGAATTTGGGGGGGGGGAGAAGAGGGGGTGGGGGAAGGGTGTTGGGGGGGATGGGATTTGTTTAGAAGGGAATAGAAGAAAGAAAAGAAGATAAGAGGTTGATAGTTTTGAAGGTTTGTTTAGGTTTTCTTTTTGTTAGAGGAGGAAGATAAGTGGAGTTAGAGAGGTTAGGATGGTTGGGATAGAGGATGTAGAGGTTGGGGTGGGGGGGGGGGAGGTTATGGTTGGGGGGGGGATGGTTAAGGTTATGAGGTGTGGTGGGGGTGGTGAGAGGTTATTTTTAGTGGGATGGTGGTGTGGTTTTTATGTGGGGGGGGGTTTTTTGTATTTTGGGGTAGGTGGGGGGAGAGAAAAAGGTATGATGGGAGAATTGTGATGTGTTAAATAGGTAATGTTTGAGTGGGGGGGGGATATTATTTGAGTGTTTGAATTAGGGGGGGGGGGGGGGTAGGTGGGTTTGAAGGGGGGGGGTGAGGGTGGGGGTGAGGTTGTGGGTGTTGATGTTGTTTAGGGGGGTGGGAGTTAATAGGGGTTGGTTAGGTGGGTAGAGAGGGGGGGGGGTGGTATAGTGTTATGGTAGGGGGTGGGTATTTGTGGTGGTATGTTTTTGGTGTATTGTTTTGTGGGTGGAGGTTTTTGTTGGGGTATTTGGATTGGTAGTAGGGTGTTGGGGTTGGTGGTTGCGTTGTGGGGGTTGTTGGGTGTGTTTTGGGGGGGGGGGGGGGTGTGGTTTGTGTTGGTGTAGTTGGGGGGGTATGAGATTGGGGGGTGGATAGGATATGTTGGTTGGATAAGGGTAGGGTATTTGGGGTGGGTAATGTGTTGGTATTGTGTGTTGTTTGAGATAGGGTAGATTGTGGGTTTTGATATTGATGGATTGATGAGGTGTTGTTTGGGGGGGGGGGGGGTGGGGGGGGGGTTGTGGGGGGTTTTATTGTATATTGGTTTGTTTTGTGGGGATTATGGTAAGTTTAAGGGAATGATGAGTGTAGGGTGGTTTGGGATTGTGAGGTTGTTTTTTAATGGTTTTTGGTTTGGTATGATGTATGATTGATTAGTTAGTGTGGTTTTGTGAGGTGTTGTGGGGGGTGTTTTTGTTTTGGTGGGGGGTGGGTGTTGGGGGGTTTTTGGAGTTGGGGTGGTGGTGTTTTTGGGATTATTTGTGGTTGTGAACTTATATGGTGTATGGGTTGGATAAGTGGTTGATATTTTGGGGTTTGGTTGTTGGGTGTAGTTGGGGGTATTGATTTTGTAGTTTGGAAGGTGATGGTTATGAGATGTTGTAGTTTAATGGTGAGAGGTTGAATTTGGGGATAGGGAGTTGTGTAGGGAGAGGAGTAGGGGGGGGAGATTGGTTGTGTTGGGTTTTTGAGGAGGGGTTGGAGTGTTGGTTTTGTTGGGGGGGGGTGGTGGGGTTTTGGTGGGTTTTATGTTTGGGTTTTTGAGTAGATGGGTGTTTGTGATTGTATTTAGGGTGTGGGGTATGGGTTTGGATGGTTTGTGGGTGTGTGGTGTGGGTGGTTGTATTCTGTGTGGTGTGGGGGGGTTTTGGGTTTGTTGGATGGGGTGAGGAGTTGTGTTGGGTGTGGGGGGTAGAGGGTAGGGGTGAGTGTGTGGTGGGGTGGTTGGTTGTGGGTGGGGGGGGGGGGATTAAGGGGGGGGGGTTGGTTGGGGGGTGTGGGTGGGGTGGTAGGTTGGAAGGTAGGGTGATTGGGGGGTAGTGGTGTGAGTGGGGTGTTTTTATTAAATGGGGGTGTTTGTGGGGTTGGGAGGGTAGTTTAGTGTTGGGTGGTTGTGGGTTTGGGGGTTGGTGGTTTTGGGGTGTTTGTGTATAGGTGGTGTTGTGGTGTGTGTTGGGTGGGGGGGTTATGGTGGTTGTGAGTGGGGGGTTTTGTTTGGGGTTGGTGTGAGTGGTGTTGATTGTGTTTGGGGGTGATGTGTGGGATAGAGGTGAAGGTGAGGAGGGTTAGGGTATTTTAGTGAATGTTTTTGTTTTTGTGTTTTATATATGGATATGGTTTGGTTGTGGAGGGGTTTGTTGGGTGGGGAATATATGTGGTTTGTTGGGAATGGTGATAGTTTTTATATGAAGGAATATATTTTTTTATTGTGTAAGTGAGTTTTGTGTTTTTGTTGTATGGTGTTTGTGTATTTTTTTTGGGGTTATTTGTGGGTGGGGGGGTATTTATGATTGGAATGGGGGGTAAGTTGGAATGGATTAAAGAGGTGGTTGTGATTTGGTTGGTGGGGTGGTGTGACTTGGGTAAAGGTAGTATTTGTGTTGTGGGGTATTAGTGATTTTGTAAATTGGAGGGGTTGTGTTATAGGGTGTTGGGTGGGGGGGGTGGTAGTAAGGGGGTGGTGGGGGGTTGTTTGAAAGGGGGAATGTGATTTGGTTGTTGTTTAGTGATATGGATGGGTTGAATTAAAGATTTTTAAGGGTTATGATATTAATTTTTATTATGAGATTATATTAGTATTAGGAAGATGAAAGGTGGATGGTGATTTTTATTGGATTAATGAAGGGTAGGTAGTGATTGTTTGAATGGAATGGTAGAGTGAGATAAAGGGGTGAGAGTTAGGTTTGTAATGAGGTTATGGGTAATAGGGTTAGGGTTTTGGAGGGTCTGGATGTGAGATTTGATTAAGTGGTGGGTTTATAGGGTGAAGTTTTAATTTTTGGAGGTTGGGAATTTTTTTTTAGGTGATTGGTTTATGGGTGGTTTGTTTGGGGTGGTGATTTTGGTTTGGGGGGGGTGGGGGAATGTGAGTGTTTGTTAGGGTTTTTGATGATTGTTTTAGAGGTGTGATTGTATTTTGTGTGGGAAGGGTGTTTGGGTTGGTATGAGTGTTGGATAAAGGGATTTGGATAGGTATTTTGTTTGGGGAATTTGAGGGGGTAGGGTTTGATGTTTGGAATGTGGGGGATTGTTGTGGTGGGGTGTAGGTTGTGGGAGAGGGGGGAATTTGTGGAAGGGGGAGTTGGGGGGAGTTGAATGAGGTTTGTGGGGTGGTTGGGTGAGGGGTAGAAAGTAGGGGGGGAATATGATGGTTTGGGAGCAAGGGTTTTGTATGGGGGGGAGAGGATGTTGGTTAATTTGGGTTTTTGGGTGATGGGGGGGGGGGGGTGTTAGGTGGGTTTTGAGTGTGGATATAATAGTGATTTGGTAATTGTGTTTGTTTATTTATTGATGGGGGGGGTGTAGTGTTATATGAGGGACTGGGAGAAGAGTGAATGGTTGTATATGGTGTTGTATAGATATATTATATGATTTAGAGTAGTATGGGTTGGGGAGTTAAATTGTATGGGATGGGGGTGGAGTATGAGGATGTTGTGGGAGGTGGTTTATGGGGGTTTGTGGGGTGTGGTGGGTGGGGGGTTGTGGTTTGGTGTGTGGTTATGGGATTATGGAGGTGGTTGGGAGGTGTGGGTAGGGTTTATGTGGTTGTTGAGGAGAGGGTTTTGGAGAATGTTCGTGGGGGGAGTAGGGTGTGGTAGGGGTTATGGTGGTTGGTGAGTGTTGTGTTGGTGGTTTGGTGTGTGGGGGTGTTTTGTGTTTGTTAGAGAGGTTTAGGTGATGTATTGGAGGTTGTATGTTATGGTGGGATGTGTGTTGTGGTTTGTAGAGGAGTGGGTTGTGGATTGTGGGGTTGTGAATAGTTTTTTGGAGGTTGTTTAGTGGTGGTTTAGTGGGGGAAGAAAGTTGTGTTTGAGGGGATGGGGGGGTTGGGGGATTTTTTGTGGTGTGTGTGGGGGGGGTGGGTGGATTTAGATTAGGTGGGATAGAGTTGTTAGTTTTGTGATTTTTTTTGGGGGGGAATTTGGGGGGGGTGTTAGGAGGTGAATGGTGGAATAATAGATGAGAAGAAGAGAGGGATGGTGGGAAGGGGGGGTGTTATGGGGGTGATGAGGGGGGAGGAATATAAGTTGTGGTAGTTTAGAGGATTTGGGGGTGAGAAGAGGAATAAGGAGGAGTTTGGTAGGGTAGAAATGTGGATGAAATTTGTAGATGGGAGATGAATATGAGTTAAGAAGGGTAAGGGATTGGTAGAAGGAGTGGGTGGTTTTTGGTGGTTATGTGAAGTATGTTGGGGGGGGGATGGTGGGGGGGGTGTTTGTGGTTGGGTTATGGTTTTTTGGGTTTGGTTTTGGAGAGGTTTGTTAATTATTGTGAATTTTGGGTTTTTGGGAGAGGTGGGTAGGGGTGTTTGGGGTGGGGGAGGGTGGAGTGGTAGCTGGAGTTGGAAGGAGGTGGGGTGGGGGTATGTAATATGTTGAATTAAGTGGAGTATTGAGTGTGGTGTATAAGGAATGTTTGGGAGTGTTGTATGGTGAGTTTTTAAGGATATTTAGGGTTGCGTTGTTGTGAGGTGTGGGTGGAAGTGGTGGTGGAGGATATAAATGATTTATAGGGTAGGGTTTAGTTGGGGATTTAGGTGATGGTTATTGTGTGTTAATTATTAGTTGTGTTGGTTGTATAATGTTTAGTGAGTATGGGGTAAGTGTTTTTTAATAAGGGATGTTGGGAGGGGGGGGGTGAGTGGGGGGATTGGGTGTGTATTGGGGGGGGAGGAGGGGGGTTGGTTGGGTTTAGGTGGGGGTTGGTGGGGTGGATGAGGGATTTTGGTGTAGAAGTTGGTGGGTAGTTTTGGTGGGGGGTTGTTAGGGGTTAGATGTAGGGTGGATAGTGTGAATAGTGGGAAGTGGTTGTTGTTGTAGTGGTTTGAGGGTGTGGTAAGTGGGGGGTTTGGTAGGTGAGTGTTGTGGGGTGTATAGGGATGTGTGGTTGTTATGTGGATGATGGGTTGGTTGGTTGTTAGGAGTTTAGGTGGTGTTGATGGTTTTATGTGTTTGTGTTTGTATGATGGGTGGGGATGGTTTGGTATAGTGGGTGTGGTTTGGTTGGGTTAGAAGTGTTATGGGGAGTGGGAAGTGGTTGTTAGGTGGTGTAGGTTATTATATAAGGATTGTGATTGAGGTAATAGGGGGGAAAAAAGGTGGTGTTATAAAGGAGTTTGAGAGTGGGTTGGGGGAGGGTGGGGATGGTTGTTGGGTTTTTGGGGAGTTGTAGGGGTTGTGATGTAAGTGAGTTTGATTTTGGTGATATAAGTGGTAATTTTAGGATGGTATTGGTTTTGGGGGGGGGTTATAGAATTTTAGGGAATTGGGGGTTATGTTGGATTGTGGTTGAGTATATGTGGGGTTTATTTGTGGTTAGGAAGGGAAGTGGAATAACATTTTTTGGGATGGTTTTATGATGTTGTGTGGGGGAGATTTGGGTTGTGAATGTAGGGTTGAATAATTGACTATATTGGTGACATTGTAGATTATGTTTTAGGGTAAAGGTATGTTGGGAAGGGTGAGATTATTGATGATAGTTTGGAATGAATAGGGTGTGTTTTTTGGGGGGGTGTGGTGTAGGGATGTGGTTTTGGGTTTTGGAATGTTGTGGGTGGGGGGGAAATATTGTTTATATAGATATTTTGATATATGAAGGGGGGGGGGGGAGGGGGGAGGGAGGGGGGGGTGGGGGGTGATTGGGGTGGGGTAGTGGTGAAGGGTAGGATAGGGGGGTTATAGTATGGGGGGGGGGGGTTATTTTTTTTGATGGTGGTTGTGGGGGGTGGGGATTGATGAGGTTGGGAAAATGTGGGATTTTGTGGTGGTTTGATGAAGGGGGGGGGGGTGTATGAGGTTATGGTGTTATGTGAGAGGTTGGGGTGGTGAGTTTGGTTGGGGTATTAAAGGTTTGGGGGTGGGAGGGGGGGGTGGGGAAGGTTAAGAATGGGAAATGATGTTGATAGGTTGGAGGTGAGGGGGGATGGTATTGTTAGTAAGGAGATAGAGTGTTGAGATTGGTTTGGTTTTGGGTTATTTAGTTTTGTGGGAGGGGGGGGGTAGAGATTTGTTGGTTGGTATTTTATGTGTTGTTTGGTGTGTGTGTGTGGGTTAAAGGGTTATTGGGGTGGTAGAGGTTGTTTGGGTAGGTGTTTTTGGGTGGGGGTGGAATGGAGGATTGGTGGAGTGAGGGTTGGATGGGAGTATATGGAATATTTGGATAAAATTATAATATGGTGGGGTAGGATGGGGAGGATTGTGGGTGTTATTGTTTTTTGTGTGTTGGTGGTTGGGGGTTTGGTGTGTTGGGGGGGGGGGGGTGTGGTTTGTGGGGGGGGGGATGTGTGGGGTAGGGGGGTTAGTTGAATAAGTGGATGGGGGGGGTATTGGGGGGGTATTGAGTGGGGAAAATTTTGTTTTGTTTATTTTTAAGTGAGGTTGGGGGGATGGAGGGGGGGTGGTGGGGGAAATGAGATGTAAAGATGTGGGGGTTGGAAGAGGGGGGGGGTAAGGTGGGGTTGGGAGGGAGTGTGGGTTTTTGGTGGAAGATGAATGGGAAGTTAAGGGGAGTGTAAGGGGTTGAGGGGAGTGGTATTGGAGAGTTGTTAGGTTTTTAGTGGGATGGTACGGGGGGGGGGATGTTAGGTTTTGTTGGGTTGGGTTACATAGGGTTAAATTGTTTTGGGGGGGGGGGTAGAGGGGGTAGGGGGGGAGGTGTATGGGGTAGTTGTTTGGGTTTTGTGGGGTTTTTGGGTTTGGTGGTAGAGGTGATTTAAAGGTGGGGGTGGAAGGTTGTTTTGTAGGGGAATTTGAATGGAGGAAATTGAAGTGGGGGGTATGATTGGAAGGTGGGTGGGGGGGGTGGGGAGTGTTGGTTTGGGCGGGGTGGGGGGGGGGGGGGGAGACATTTGGATTTGTTTTTGGTTTTGGATTTTTGGGGTGATTTTGGTAGAGGAGATGATTGGTTTTATTTATTTTTGTGGTGTTTTTTGAAAGGGGGGGGAATGGGGGGTGGGGGGGGAGATTAATGTGGGTATTTGTATATTTTGTGGAGGTGTAGGGGGGGTTGGGAATGATGGGGGTAGTGGGGGGATGTGGGGTATGGTGTTTGAAGTGTAGTTGTGGTTGTTTGTGTGTGGGGGTGGTGAGGTTTTTATTGTGTTATTAAGAGTTTTAGTGGTTATTGGGTGGGGTGTGTTTGGTAGATGATATTATGGGGTGGGTTAGGTTTTAAAGGTATGGATATTGTTAGATTGGGGGGGATGTGATATATGATGTGGGAATGTGATATAGAAAGTTTATATGGGTGTTGTTGTTTGGTTGGAAAGGTTGGGGTTTGGGAAGAGGTGGAAGTGTTTGAATTATAGATTGTGGAATGGGGGGTGGGGGTGTAAAGAGGTGGAGGTGGAAGATGTATATTTATGGTGGATGTTAAGAGAGGGTTTAGGTTGGTTGTTGAGGGTGGAGTGGGGAAGGGGGGTAAGATGATTATTAGGTGTTGGGGGGGGGGGGGTGGATGGGGAGTTTTGGGGTTAAAGAATTATAGGGTAGGGGTATTTTGAACGTGGATAATTGGGGTGTTGGTGTTTGAGTGGTGATTTTAGAGATGGTTAAGGGTAATTTATATGTATTGGGGTTTATATATTTGGGTGGGTAGTTGGGGGGGTAAGGTAGTTTAATATGTGATGGTGGTGGAGTTATTAGTTAATGTTTATGATTCAGGGGTTTAGGGGTGTTTATGGGTTTGTTTTGTAGATTTTTTGTTTGGGGTGGGATGGTGTTGATGTTATATTTGGGATATGATTAGGTGGATATGGGGATGGGTTATGTTGGTTGAATATGGTAGTAGGGTGGATTTTGTTAGTGATAGGTGGAGGGAGAGGAAGGGTAATTTGGTTCTGTATTTGGGTGGGTTATGGGGGGGTTTGTATGGTGGGGTGGGTTTATTGTGAGGAGATATAGAGTTGGTTGTGAAGGTGGTGTGTTGGGGGGGGGGGGGTGTGATATATGGGGGGTAAAGTTGGTGAGGGGTAATGAGGGGGGGTTGGAATTGGAGTGTGAGGTGTTATTTGTTTGGTGATAGTGGGGGGTGGAGGATGGTGAAGGGGAGATGGGGGTATGGGAATTGATTTGGGGGAAGTGAATTGGGTTTGAAGTGTAAAATGGGGGTTTGGGATGTGGAATTATGGGTGATGGGGGGGTGGGGGTTTATTTGGTTGTGTGGGAATGGAGGGGATGGGTTCTGGAATGTGTAAGGTAGGGGGATATAAGGTGGTTGGAATGTGGGTAGGATGGGGGAGGGGTGTTGGGGAAAGAAAGGGGTAGTATATTGGGTGTTTGGGGTAATGTGGTAGGGAAGGTGGAAGTGGAATGTAGGTGTGGGGGGGGTGTGTAGAATGGGGTGTTTTTGAAGGGGGGGGGTTGGGAGAATGTGGAGGGAATTGGTTAGTTTTGGGATTTATGGGTGGGAGGGAGGTGTGTTTAGAGGAGTAGTTGGGAGTGTGTGAGGGGAAGGTGTTGGGATTTTGGGGTATTGGATAGAGTATTATTAAGGTATGAATTGAGGTGTGGATAAGGGGGGGTTTTGTAGTAGATTTTTTTATGGAATAGATGAGGGTATGTTTGATAGTAGAGGATGTTAGTTGGGTGTTTGTATGTTGTTGGGGGGGTTGTTTATGATAGTTTGGTTGGTGGTGGGTGGATGTAGTGTTTTAGGGATTATGTTGTGTTGGGTGGAGTTGTGGGAGGGGGGTTAAGGGGGTGTGTTGTGGGGGGAGGTGTTGTTTTAGGTGATTAGGGGGGGTATGGGGTTGGGGGTGGAGGGGGGTTTGGGGTGTGAATTATGGGGGGGTGGGTGTAAGGTGGTGATATGATTGTTAATTGGAAATGGGAGTGATGTTGTTGAGAGGGGGTGAGTGTTGGGGGGGATTTGTTGTTATTGTTGATGTGGGGTTTTGGTATTTATTAGGGGTTTGGGGTATTTTGATTTTTGAGGAATTTGGGTAGGGATGGATATGGGGGAATTGTGGGGGGGGGTGAGGGATTAGATGGGGGCATGTGTAAATAATTTGAATATGATTATATGGGGTTGTGGGTGATGGGGGGGAGGGAGAATTGGTATTGAAGTGTGAAGGAGTCTGGGGGTTGATTGGGGGGTTGGGGGGTGGGGGTGGGGGGTATGGTTGTTTTTTATATTTTATTATGTGTTGATTTGGGTTGGTGTGTGGTGAAGTTTGTGGTTATAGGGTTGGGGAAGTTGTGGGGGGTGGGTTGGTTGGAGGGGGGGTTATGGGAGATAATGATTATGATAGGGGGGGGGGGGGGGAGATTGTTGTGATAAGGATTGGTGGTGGGTGGAAGAGGGGGGGGTGTATTTATGGTGTTGAAATTTTTTGGACAAATGTTTTTATTTATGGGTTGGGGGGTGGGGGGAGATTTGTTGGGAAGGGGTTGGGAGGAATTTTTTTTGAGGGTAAGGAGGGGGTAAGGGGGGTGTATTTGAGGGATGTGTTTTTAGAGTAAAGGTGTTTTAACTGGTTATTGGTTAGGAGTTGGGGTATGTGTATAATTATGGAAATTTAATGGTTTGTAGGGGGGGGGGGTAAATAGGTTTTTGTGTAGGGAAGAAAAAAGTTGTTGTTAATTGTTGTATGTGGGTTTTGATGGAGGAGGGGTGGGGTGGGGGGTTTGTATAGAGAGTATTGATGGGTTTATTTTTGTGGTAATGGGGTGGATGGATTGTTGTGATATTTGTGGGTTGTGGTATTTTTTGTATGGTGTTTGGGTTATGGTTTGTTGGTGTGGGGGGGGGTGGGGGGGGTGGTAATTTGAAGTTTAAAGAAAAAAGGATGGTAAAGAGGGTGAAAAAGGGAAGAGATAAAATTGGGGGGTTATAAGGGGGGAGATGTAATGTTGGTGGATAGTTATTTATGTGTTGTTGGGTGGAGTTAATATTGTGGGGTATGTGAGAGTTTTGGGGGGAATTAAAAGTACTTTAGGGTGTTAGGAAATGTGTTTGAAGTTGGTGATAGGGGGGGGGGAGGGTGTGGGGGGTATTGTTTTAATGGGGTGGGTGAATGAGGGTGGAGGGTATTTTGGTGGTGGTATGGGGATAGGGATTTATTTGTTGTGTGGTATGGGTTGGACAGGTGGGGAGTTTATGTAGGGGGGGGAAGTTGAGGTTTTTGGTGAGGGTAGGGGGTTTTTTTGTGGGGGGGTGGTTATTGTGTGATGGTTGTGGTGGGGTGATGGGTTTTGGTGTAGTTTTTTTGTGGTTTGTAGGATGGGGGTTGTGTGTTTGGGTTGTGTAGGGTAGGTTGTGTGGTTTAATAGGTGGTTTTTATGGGGTGTTTTTGTTATGGTTATGTTTGTGGATTTGATGTTTGTGTTTTGGTTTTATATGTTGTTTATGTAGTTGGGTGGGGGGGTGGGGGGGTGGGAGTTTGTTTGTTTGGGTGGGGGGGTGGTAGTAGGTGTAGTATTTGTTATGGGAATGGTTTTTTGGGGGTGGGGGGTGGGTTGTTGGTTGGGTGGGGGTTTGGGGGGTGGTTTTGTTAGTGTTGGTGGGTTAGGTGGTTGGGTGTTGTGGGTTATGGGTGGGGTGTTTTGAGGTTATGTTGGGAGGTGGTTTTTGATGGTGGGGGGGTGTTTGTGTAGGGGGGGTTGTGTGGTGATGGGTGGGGGTGGGGGATTTTGGTTGGGTTTGGTTTTGTGTGGTGGTTGGGTAGGGGGGTGGGGTGGGGGAATTTTGTGGGTGTGGGGGGTTTTGGGGGGGGGGGGGGGTGGTGGGGGTGGGTTGGTGTTGGGGTTGTGGGTTGGGGTGTGTGGTTGGGTGGTTGGAGAGTGTTGGTGAGTTGGGTGTGGGGAGGTGGGTTTGTGGGGGTGTTGGGGGGGGGTGGTGGGGTTGGTGGGTGTGTTGTTTGGGATTGGTTGTGGGGGGGTGGGGTGGTTGGGGGGTATGGGGGGGGGGATGGTGATGGATAGGGGTGTGGGGGGGGGGAGGGGGTGTTGGTGGGGGTTTGGGGTGTTGTTGGGGTGTGTTGTGGGGGGGGGGGTGTGGGGGGGTGGTGGGGGGGGTGTGTGGGGGGGGATTGGGTGGGGTTTGGGGTGTAATGAGTTTTGGAAGTTTGTGTGTGGTAGGGAATGGATGGTGGTTGTATATGTGGGTTGTGGAATTGTTTTTTTGTGAAGGTTGGTTAGAGGTGGTTTAGGGGGGGAGTATTATAAAGTTGAGTTAGGGATGATGGGGGGGGGGGGATTTTGGGGGAGGGGGGGGGTGGGTGAGTTAAGTATTGGTAGGTGTTTGGGTTATTTTGTGTGATTTTGAATAGGGTGTTTGAGGGGGGAGAGTGATGGGGGAGTGGGATTGTGATTGGGGGGTGTTGGGGATGGGGTGGAGGGGTAGGGGGAGGGGTAATAGAGGGGTTGGGTGAGTTGATATTAGGGATAATGGAAATGGGGTATAGAGTGTAGTGGGTTTAGTGATATGGGGGTGGTGGTGGAATGGGGTGTTGAGGGTGTAGTGTGTGGGGGGGAGGTGGGGTTGTTGGTGGGAGAGGTGTTAGTAGGTAGTGTTGTTTGGTTTGGGTGTGATATTTTTGGGGAAATTGTGGTTTGATTGGTGTTTATGTTTTTAGATTAGATAGTATTATTGGATTGTGTGAGTGGGGGGTTGGGGTTGGGTAAAGGTTTAGAAGGTTGGGGGGGAGAGGTGTGTAGGACGGGGGAGGGGTTGATATATGGGGTAGAATTAGAGTTAGTAGAAGTGAAGAGATTAGAGAAGAGGTAGAAATAGAGTGAGGATTGTGGTGGGGAGGATGTAGGATAAGTGGGGATATTTGAATTGAGCAGGTGGGAATTTATGAGGGGGGGTTGAGGAATAGAGATGTATGGGGGTATTATGGTAATGTTTGTGGTGGAGGATGTTGAGTGATTGTGGTTGGTGGGTGGTTTGGGGGGATATTTAATTTGATTGTGATTGATGGAGTTGATGTGGATGAGGGAGATTATAATTATTGTTGGGTTGTTTTTTTGGGGGTTTTAGGTGGGGGTGGGTGGGGGTTGGGTGGAGGGGGGGTTTGGATGGGGGGGTGGGTGGTATTGTTTGTTGTGGGGGAGGTGTGGGTTAGGGTGGGATAATGAGGGGTTGGTGGGGAGAGATTTTGGGGTTGTTATGGGTGGTTAGTGGTGGGGGTGGAATGGTTATTTGGGAAGTGTTGTTTACTTTAGTGGTGTGTGTGTGTATTGTGGGGTTGAGTGGTTATGGGGTGAGTGTTGTGGGGTTGGTTGATAGAAGTGGATGTTGGGTTTTATGTGGAAGATGGGTTGTTGTGAGGTAGTGGGTATGTGGTTTGAGTTTTATGTGTTAGTCTTATTTGGATGGGTGGGTTGTGGGTTTGTATTAGGTTTGTGGGGGGTGTGGGTATGTGTTATGATGTGGATTGGAGGGAGTTGGAGTTGGTTGTAAGGTGGTTTAGGTTATTATATAAGGTTGTGTTTGGGTAAATTTGGTTTTTGGAGTGTTTTGGGGGGGAGTGGTAGGAGTTTTGAGTATGGGGGGGGTAGGGGTTTGAATAAGAGTGTGGGTTAGGTGGGGTAGGGGAAGATGATAGGATGGTTGGGTGAAATGTAAGGTAGGGTGAAGGTGAAGATGATTTTAATAAAAAAGAGAGAGGGTCAGAGGATGTTGGTGGAAATTAGGTGAATGGTTTGTAAAGAAAGAGGAGTTTGTTTTGATATAAGATTAGGTTTGAGGAGGGTATAGGGGGGAGTTGGTGTTGTTTATTGTAGTAGGGGGTTATGGGGGTATATAGGTTGGAGGTATATAGGGAGGTTTGATTGGTTGATATTGTGGGGTTTGGATGTGGATTTTTGGTGTATTTTTTGTGGATTGTGGATTGGTGGATTTTGTGGTTGGATGTATAAAAGGAGTATGGAGATAGGAGGGTTTGTTATTTAGGGGGATGGGTAGATGGGGTGATGGTTTTGGTTGGGTTGGGAGGATGGTTTTTTTGAGTGAGTGTTTGAGTGAGGGTTGAGGGTGGGGTGTTGGGTATGAGGTTTGTATGGGTTGGTTGGGTGTTGTGTATGTGAGGGGTAAAGGTGAGGTGTTGGTTGGTGGTAAGGTTGTGGTGGGAGGGGGGGTTTGGGTGGAGAGGGGGTATGGTGGGGGGTGTTTTGGGAAATTTTTGGGGGGTGGGGGTTCTAGTGTTTGATGGGTGTGGGGTGGGAGGAAGGGGGTAGTAGAGATATAGGATAATGTCAGTGTGGTTTGTGGATTGGGTTTAGGAGGGTTGATAGGGGGTCGTATTGGGTTAAGTGGAGGGGTGATGGGGGTAGGTGGTTATGGTGGTGGGGTTGGTGTGGGGGGTAGTGGGGGAGTGGGTTAGGTGGGATTGGGTTGGTGTATGGGAGTTGTGTTGGGGGGGGTGTGGGTGATGGTTGGAGGGGTTGTGGGTAAGGAGGGGGTTGGGTTGTTTATGGGGTATATTTTTTTGTGGGGGGGTTTGATGTGGTTTTGGTTGGGGGTGGGGTTTGTGGGAGTATTGTGGGTGTGGATGAATGTTGGGGGGGGTGGGTTATTTGTGAGGTAGGGTGTGGGTTGTGTGGTTTTGGGGGTTGGTGGGGGGGGGGAGGGTGTTTTGTAGTTTGTATGGGAGGTATTGGGGGGGAGGTGGGTGTTGGGGGTGGGGGTGATGGGGGTTGGGGGGATAATATGGGTGGGGGGGGGGGGGGGGGGGGTGAGGGGGGGGGGGTAGTTTTATAAATGGGTACTTGGTGAGGGTTGGGTGTGTGTGTGTTTGGGGTGTGTGTGGGGTTGGGGTGTGTGGGGGGGTGGGGTTGATGTGGATGGGGGAGTGGGGGGGTAATGTGTTTTTGTTGTGGTTAGTTTTTTGGTTTTTGTGGGGGGGGGATTGGTGTGGTGTGAGGGAGAAGGATTTGTTTATTGTTTTTTTAGGGGGGGGGGGAGGGGGGAAATGTGAGATATTGGGGGGGGGTGTGGTAGTGTTGGGGTTGGGGGTATAGTGGGATTTTGTTTGTGGGTTTGATCTGGGTGTGTGGAATGGGTATGGATATATGTGGGGGGGTATGTAGGGATGTAAATTTTTAGTATTGTGTGGTGGTGTTGTTTGGGGGTGTTGGGTTTTGTGGGGGGTATTGGTGATTGGTATGTAGTTTATTGGTATTTGGTGGGTGATGGGTGGGGTATGGTTTATGTGTGGTTTGGTTGGGGTTTGGGGTTGGTGATGTGTGTTGGTTTATGGTGGGGGGTTAGTGGTTATTTTAGGTGGGGTTTGGGGTTGTGGGGGATTGGGGGTTGGTGAGTTGAGGATTTGTGGGGGAATGTGGGGGTGATTGTGGGGGTTTGATGTATATATGGGGGGGGTGGTAGTATGGGATAGTGTTTTGGGTTTGAAAGGGGTAATATTGTTAAGGGGATTGTGTAGGTATGGATTGGTGTGGGGGGGATAAGGGTTGTGGGTTTTTGTTGGTGGGGGTTGCTGTGGAGTGGGTATGATTTTTGGATGTGTATGTTTGGGTAGGTGGGGGTGGTGTTGGTTGGGTAGGTATGGTGTGAGTGTGTACAGGTAGTTGGTTGGTGGGGTATGTTGGGTATGTTTTGTGTTGTGGTGTGTGTTGTTGGTGTATGGGGGGTTTGTGGGGGTGTGGTGGGGTTGGTGGGGGGAGGTGGTAGGGGTTGGGGGAGTTGGGGTTGGTGGGGGGGGGGTGGGGTTGGGTGGGTTGGGTTTGGGTAGGGGTGGGGATGGAGTGGGGGTGGTGGGTGGGGGTCTTGGTGGGGTTGGTGTGGGGGGGTTGGTTTGGGGGGTGTGGGGAGTTTGGGGGGGTTGGGGGTTTTAGTGGTTTGTGTTTTAGGTTGGGGTGGTTTGGTGAGGGGGGTTGGGGGGTGGGTTAGATTTGTTTGTTGGTTTATGGGGGGTGGGTTTGTTTGTGTGGTTTTGATTGTGATGGGGGGGTTGGTTTGGGGGGGGGTGGGGGGTGAATTTGGGGGGTGTGGTTGGTGTGGATTGGGTGTTGTGGGGTATGGTTTTTTAGGTGTTGTTTGTGGGGGTTGTGTGGGTTTGGTTTGTGGGGGTAGGGGGTGGTGTGTGTGGGTAGTGTGTGTAGTGGGAGAGGGTTGGTGGGGAGTGTTGGGGGTGGGGGGTTGGGGGGGGGGGGGTGGGGTGGTTGGGTGTGGGGGGGGGGGTAGGGGGGGGGGGGATTTAGTTGTAGGGGGGTATAGTGTGTTTGTGATAGTTGTTTTTTGTTTGTATATGGTTAGTTGAGATAGGGTTTGGGTTGGTTTGGATGTTGGGAATGGTGGGGATATGAGTGTTGTGGTTTAGGTGGTGGTGTGGGTTGGGTTTTGGGGTGGGTGGGGTGTTGTGTGTGGGGGGGTGGGGGGGGGGGGGGTGTGTTATATTGGGGGTGGGTTTGTGGTGGTAGGTGGGTGGGGTGGTTGGGTGGGGTTGGTTTATGGGGGGGGGTTGTGGGGGGTTTATTGTTGTATGGTGGGGGGTGGTGGGTTTGGGGGTGTGTGGGTGGGGGGGGGGGGTGGGATGGTTAGGTTTTTTGGTGGTGATAGGGCTTATGATATGGATTATGTATATATGTTAGTTTTTGTGTTTGGGAGTTGTTGTGGTTTGAGGGGTTGGGTTTCGGGGTTTGTGAGTTTTGTGTGGGGGGGGGAGGGGGGGGGGTTGGTGGTGGGGTGATGGTTTGGATGGATGATTTTGGGTGGGGTGTATAGTGATGTGAGGGATGTGTTTTTGAGTTATTTTTTTGTGGGATGGTTAGATGGTATGTGGATTTGGTTTTTGGGGGTGGGGTTGTATGTTGAAGTGGGATAAATTGGAAGTGGGGGTGTGGGTAGTGGTGGGGTGGGGTTTGTGTGATTTTTTGGGGGTTGGGGTGAGGGGTGGGGGGGTTGTGTGTGGTAGGGTGGTGGTTGTGGTGTTGGGGGGGTTGGGTGGGTTGGGGGGATGGTGGGTTTTGTGGGTGGGGTTTGGGTAGTTTGTTGGGGGGTATGAAGTAGAGGGGGTTTGGTTGTTGTGGTGTTTAAAGTTGGGGGGGAGTGTGTGTACTGTTATTTGAGGTTGTTGGGTGTGGTGGGTTGTTGGTTTTTTGGGGGGGGGGATTAGGTGTGGTTGGGGTGTGGTTTTGGGGTGGGTGGTTTTGATTGTGGTTGGGGGTATTGTTGTGTTGGGGGGATGGGGGTGGGTGGGGGGGGGTGGGGTGTTTGTGGGGTTGGGGTGTGGGTGTGTAGTTTTGTTTGTTTGTATTTGGTGATGTGTTGTTATGGGTGGGGTGGGATTTGTGTGGTGTGGGGTTGGGGGGGTTGGGTTATTGTATGATGGGGTTTAGGGTGTTGGTTTGGTTTGGTTGGTTGGGGGGTTGGTTTGGGTGTGGGGTGATGTTGTTGGGAGTTTTTATTGGGGTTTGCAAGTGGGTGGATTTTTGGGGGTGTGGTTTGTGGGTGGGTAAGTTGGTTTTTGGAGGGGGGTTGTAGTTTAGTGTGATAGGTTGTTGGGGTTGTGTTGGGGATATTGGTTGTGGGGGGGGGTAAAGTAGGATTTTATGAAGAATTTGGGGGGGGTATTTGGTTGGGTTATGTGAGGGTGTGGAGATGTGATTAGTTGGAAGTGTTGTTGTTATGGGGGGGGGGGGGGGGGAGGGGGTTATAGTAGTTGTGGGTTGATTTATTATTGGTGTTTATGTGGTAATTGGATATTGGTTTGTTTGATGTGAAGGTTGTTGGGGGGATGGAGGAGAGGTAGTGGATTAAGGTGAGTGTTATAGTTTGTGGGGGTGGTTGGAGTATGATAAGTTTGGATGTATGGTATAGTGTAGTGTCTGTGGTGGTTAGGTAGTGGTTTAGGGGGGGGGGGTGGGTGGGGGGTAAAGTTAGGTGGGTGTGTTATATTTTGTGGTTTGGTGGGGGAGTGTGAGTGGGGTTTGGTGGTGGGGGTGTATTTGGATAATGATGGGGATATGTAGTGTTTGTTGTGGGGTTATTTGGTGAGGTTTATATGTTGGTGGTATTGTGGGGGGAGGGGAGGGGTATTGATGATGTGTTGTTGTGGTTGTGGTGTGGGGGGTGGGTTTTGGGGGGGGTGTTGTTATTGTGGGGTAGGGTGGGTGGGGGAGGTGGGGTTGGGATTGTTTTGGGGATTGTGTGGGGTGTGGTGGGTGTAGGGGGTTGTTTTGGGGTGGGGGGGGGGGTTGTGTGGGGAGTGGGTGGTGGTAGTTGTTTTGGGGTTGGGTGGGGGGTGGGGGGGTGTTTGGTGGTGTGGGGGGGGGGGGTGTGGGTTGGGGTTTTTTGGGGGTGGTGTGTGGGGGGGGTTGGTGTTTGTGGTGGGTGGGGGGGGGGGGGTGGTGGGGGGGTGGGGTGTGGGATGGTGTGGGGTGTTGGGGTGTGGGGGGGTGGGGGATTGGGTGTTGGGTGTGTGTGTTTGTTTTTGTGTTTTTTTGTAATGATTATTTTGTGTTTGTGTGGTTGGGGTGTGTGGGGAAGGAGGGGGGGGGGGGGGTTTGGTGATGGGGATTGTATGGGTTGTTGGGGGTGGAAATGGAGTTGGTGGGGGTTGGGAGGATGGGTTGGGGGGGTTTGGTAATGGGGGTTGTTGGGGGGGGGTGGTGGAGGGATGGGGGTGGGTGGTTTTTTGTTAGGGGGGATGGGGATTGTGTTGGGGTGGGTTTGGGGGGAGTTGGTGGGGGTTGGTGGTTATTGGGGAGTGTGGTTGTGTAGTTTGGGTGGGGATTGGGGGGGGGGGGGGGTGTTATGGGTATGTTGTGGTGGGGGTGGTGGGGAGTGGGTTTTGGGGGGTGGTGGTGGGGTATTGGGATTAGTAGTTTGGGGTTGGTGTTAGGTTGTTTGGTGAGTGGTGTGGTATGTTATGTTTGGTGTGTTGGTGTGGGGGGGGTTGGTGGTATGGTTTGATTGTTTGTGTGGTGGTGTGTGTGGTGGGAGTTTTATATTGTAAGGTGGGGTGGTGGGGGTAGGGTGATGGGTGGTGGGATTGGATGATTAGATGGTGGGGTGGGGTATTTTTTTGGGGTGTGTGGGGGAGGGGGGTGTGGTGGTTTGGTTGGGTGGGTGTTAAGGTGTGGTGGGTTGGAAGGATTGGTATTTTATAAGTTTGATAGGGGTTTTGATTTAGTATTAAGTGGGTAGGAAGGGGTTGAGAATGGATTGTTATTTGATGGAGTTTGTAGATGAAGGGGGTATGGATAGGGTTGGTGGTGGAATAAGGATTTGTGTTTTTGAAGGGTGGTGTTATGGGGATGGTTGATTTAGATTGTGGTGGTAGGGTGGGTGGGGGGGGGGGGGTGAGAAGGATTTGAAGATTGAAGTGAGGATGGATTGATAGATTATTAGTATGTTGGTTGGGATATTGTGGGGGGTGTAGAGGTTGTTATTGTAAATGTTTGAGGAGGGGTGTTAGGTTTGTTTTGTTTATGGGGGGGTGAGGAGGTAAGTTGGTTATGGGAAATAGGGGATTGGGGTTTGAGGTTTAGATAATGGGTGTGTGGTTGTATATTTGGTGGGTGGGGTGGTTTGATTAATTTTTTTGGTGGGGGTGTGGTTTGGGTATGGGGGTGGGGGGGGTTATAGGAGGGATGGTGGTGTGTTGGGATGGGGGTTTAAGTTGTGGGGGTTGGTGGGGGGATGAGGGGTGTTATGAGTGTGGTGGGGGTTTGTATGTTGTGGGGGGTTGTTGATGTGTGAAGAAGGTGTATTGGGGGGATGTTGGTGTGGGGAAGGAGGAGAGATTGGATATTGTAGGGGGTGGGGTTTGGTTGTGAGTTTTTAGGTGTTGATAATTTGGGGGATTTGGAGGGGGAGGGATTTGTAGTGTGTTTTTTATTGTAGAGTAGTTTATATATGTTTTATGGGTATGGAGTTGGTGAGATGTTATGATATATATGTATTGTGTTAATGTTATAATTGTATTTTATATTTTGAAAAGATTTAAGAGTAAAGGTTGTTGGGGGTTTTTAGAGTGGTTTGATGGGGGGGGGGGGTAAGGAATGTTTTTTAGTAGTAGGGGTATGATGGGATTGATTGGTTGTGGGGTGGTGGAAGTTTGTATAGGGATGGGTGGATATATGTGGAAGATATTTAGGGATGTTGGTGAGTATGGGGATAGATAGGGGGGTGTGATTAGGGAGATTGTAGTGATTATTGGGGAGGGAAGGATGGGGAATAGGATGAAGAAAGTATGATGATTTTGTTGGGGGGTTGTGTGTTGAATTTGTAGGGTTTAGTGTTTTGATGGGTTGTGGGTTTGAGGGGGGTGATGGTGTTGAGTTGGTATGGTATGAGTGGGGGGTGGGGTGTTGTGTGGTTTGGGGGTGGTGTGTGATATTTTGGGGATGAGTGTAGGTGTTTGGTGGGGGTGGTTTGGGGGGGGGGTTTGAGTGTTTGTTAGTTGGGGGGGTTATTGAGTTATGGTTGGGTGTAGGGGGGGAATGGGGTGGGGTGTGAGGGGGGGGTGGGAAGGGGGGAGGGGGGGGTAATGTAGAGGGTTGATGGGTGGGGTTTGTTGATTGAGGTGTAGGTTGTGTGGTTGGGGGGGGATTTGTAGGGGGGGAGGTGGGTGGGGTAGTGGTATTGGTGGGAAAGGGGGTGAGTGTTTGGGGAAAGGTTGTGGTTAAGGTTGTTTAAGTAATGGGTTGAGCTTTTTGTATTGGTGTGGGTGATTATAGAGGGGTGTGTTATGTGGGGGGTTGGGGGTTGGTTAATGTGGTGGTTTTGTTTAGGTGTAGTTGGGGTTTGGTATATTTATGGTGGATTGTGTTGGGGGGGTTTAGTTAGGGTAAAGAAGTGTATTTGGGGGGGTTGTTATATTTGTTATTTAGGGGGTTAAGAGGGTAGATGGTGGAGTGGGGGATAAGGTGGAGAGTAATATTGTTTGGGTGTGTGATTGGAGATGGGTGTGTGTTTTATGGGTTTTGGTTTTTAGTGGTTGTTGGGGGTGGGTGGTTGTTGTTGGGTTTGGGTGGTGTGATTGAGGGGAGGTGGAGGGGGTGAGTATAGTTTGAGGTGAGTAGGAGGGTGTGGATATGGGATAATGATGATTTTGGGGGGTTAGGTTAGGGGGGTGGTGGGGGTTATTAAGTATAATTGGGGGTTAGGTTGTTGTGAATTTTTTTTTTATTTGTTTGAAGATATGTAAGGGGGTGGGTGGATGGAGTGTAAATTAGGGGGTGTGGAAGTGGGTTTTGTTTATGGGAAATAGTAGGGGTTGGGGTTTGGGGTGTGTGGGTTGAAGGAGGGAAATAGGGGGTTGATTGGATGTGTGGTATAGATTTAAAGGGGGTGAGAAGTGGGTATATGAATGTAGATAAGATTGAATGAATTATTTATGAGAATGAGGGTGTTGTGTTTTTTTTGGTTGTGTTTGTTGGTATGGGGTATGATTAGGGAGGGGGTGTTTTTTATTGGGGTGATTGAGGAAGGGAATGGTTTAATTATTAGTGGGGGTGGGGTAATGATGATTGGGGGGAAGGAGATTGTTGAGGGTTGTATGGGGAGATGGTGGGTGAAGGGGGGATGGGTTGGGGGGTAATAGAGGATGTGGATAGGGGGATGATTTGAGGGTTTTTGGGGGGTGATGTTATTTGTTTTGTTTTAATTGTGGGAGGTTGGGGGGGGAAATGTCTATTTAAATTTGGAAATGTGAGAGGTTTGGTTGATTATTGTTGGGGGAGGGGGGGTGTATGATAATTTTGATGGTGGGGAATTGTTGGGGGGGGGGTGGGTTTCTGTGGTAGGGGGGGGGGTTTTGGGTGGGGGGGATAAGGGTTTGGAGTTAGTTTTGAAGGGGGATATAATTGTTGGAGTTGATGTTGTTTTTTAAATTGTTAAAATTATGGGAAGAAATTTGAATAGGGGGGGTGAAGGTAGAATTTTGGTGATTTTGTTGTTGTGGGAGATAATTTTATATTGTGGATGTGTGGGGGGGGGGGGGGGGGGGGGGGGGGGGGGGGGGGGGGGGGGGGATAGGGAGGGAGATTTATTGTTTATGGATGAGTTGTGGGATTGGGAGGTTTGGTTATGTATTAGTATTGTGGATTGTGGTGTTGTTTTTAATGAGGTGAGGGTGGGGGTATGGTGGGGGTGGAGTAGGGGTAGATTGTGGGGGGGGGGGATGGTTTGTTTTATGTATAGGAATATTGGATATTGGTAGGATGTTGGGGGTGTTTATTTAATTTGATATGGGAATAGGTGGGGTTTGTGATGGGTTAGTTCGGTTTTGAGGGGGGGGGTGATGGAGTTCTAGGTAATGATTATTATGTTCGGGGGTTGGACGGGTGACAAGAAAGTATTATGATTTTTTGTGGATGTGGAATGGGAATGATGTATAATGGGGGATGGAGAATATGTGGAGAGGATAGAATAGGTTAATTGAGGGTGTAATGGAGAAGGTCTGAGTATGGGAATTATAGGGGGGGGGGTGCATAATTAAGGAAAAGAGGGAAGGAGGTGATAGGGTGGAAAGGGGGTTGTAAATTATGGGGTGAGGGGGGGTGGTGGAGGGGGGTGGTGTATTGAAGGGGTGAGGGGATTTTAGGATAAAGGAGAGAAAAGAGTTGAAGTGGTATGTGTATGGTAGATAGGAATTTGTGGAAAGTATGTTGTTTTATAAGATGAAGTGGTGGAGGTGAGAAGAGGAAGGTAAGGAAGTATGATTTTTATTTTGGGGGTATGAAAGAGGGGTTGGATAGGAGGGGGATAATGGGATATGGGATGGGTGGTTGATGTGGGTTGAATTTTGTGATTGGGATGTTTTGGGGTTTTGGTTAAGTATTTGTTGTAATTGGAAAGGGGGGGAGAAGTGTAGGATTTGTGGTAATTGGGGAAAGGGGTTAAGTTGGAGAGTTAATAGGGTGGGGGGGGAAAGAATTGTGGAATGGAAAGATGGGGTTGGTGTGGATAAGGGATATTGGGAGAGGGTAGAGTTTGAATGGGAGGTTATAATGGAAGGGGAGAGGTTATTGATGGGGTAGATGGTGGGGGGGGGTATGAGGGGTTTAAGGGTGTTTAAGGTTTGAAGTTGAAGTGTTGTTGATGGGTAGGGTGGGTGATGTATTAGTGGTAGTTGAGATATGTTGTTTGTGGGGGATTTGTGTATGGTAGGTTATGATATGTTAGGTTATGGGTTTGTGGGTGTGTTGGTTATTTGTTGCGATTTAGGTGGGGGGGCGGATTTGATGTAGGTGGGGTGTTGGGTTGGGGAGAATTGAAATTAAGAGTGTGAGGGGGAAGGGATTTGTTGTATTTGATATGTGGATGGTGAGGGGTGTGATTATTGTTTGGGGTGGGTGTAGTAGGGTGGGTGTGGGGGTGGAGTCTGTTGATTTTTTGATAAGGGGGGAGATCTTAAAATAGTTTTATATAGAAGGTTATTTGTGGGAAGGTAGTTTGGGGGGTGGGAATTGGATTTGGAATGGGGGTAGTAGGGTTGGTAAGAGGGGGATATGGTGAAGTTTGAAATAAAGACAGAGGTAATTGTGAATATATTTGTGGGGGGTTGGTTTTTAAGGAAATGTTGGGAGGGGATGTTATGATGGGTGGTGAAGGTGGATTGTGTGATGGTGGGGTGTGGTGTGGGTTTTGAGGGAAAATGGTTGGAAGTATTGGTGGGATGAATATGGAGATATTGATAGGGGAGTTAGGGAAAATGGAGGTTGTTATTGTTTTAAGAGTGGTGTGGAAAGAATGTTAAGATTGGAGAAGAATGTAAGAAATTATGAGTATGAAGGTATGGAAGGAAGGGGGTAGAAGGTAGGATTTAATTTGAGAAGGATAGAAAGGGGTTTGAATTGAATGGAGGTTAAAGGGGTAGGGTGAGGGAGGGGAATGAGAGTAGTTATAGAGAGGGATAGGGGTGGTGGATAGTGGGGGTTGGAATGAGGGGGGGGGTGGGATGGGATAGGCGGGTGGGGAAGGGGGGTGGTTGGGGGAGTTGTATTTGAGTAGGAAGGGAAGTAGAAAGAGAAGAAAAAGATAAGTAAGATAGATAGCGTTTAGAAGGATTTTTTTATGTTTTTTTGATAAGAGGAAGAGGTATGTGGAGTATAGATTTAGGATTATGGGATAGATGAGGGAATAGGGGTTGGGGGTGGGGGGGGAGGGAGTGGGGGGGGAAGGTTAGGTTATGAGGGTGGGGGTGGGGGTTTATAGGGTTATTTTATTGATGGTGGGGTGGGTTTGGTTATGGTGGTTTTGAGGAATTTTGAGGTGGTAGGATAAGAGAAAGTTGATGGGAATGTGTGATTGTTATATGAGGTAATGTGTGAGGATGTGGTGGATTATATTTTAGTGTTAATTTATGGGGGTGGGGGGGTATTTGGTGTGTTTTGAAGGGGGGGTGGAAGGGGAGGTCTGAGGGTATGTGGGGGTTTGATGTTGTATGGGGGGGTGGAGAGGGAATATGGGTGTAGGGTAATGGTGAGGTAGAGGTAGGGTGGGGAGGGAGAAATGATGGGGGGTAGTGGGGGGTGGGGGTTTTTGGGTGGGTGTGATGGATTTTGTTTTATTGTTATGGGTGGTGGGAGGGTTTAGTTGGGGGATTTGGATTGTGAGAGGTTAGTAGGGAGTGGTGGTTTGGTTGTGGTTTTTGTATGGGGGTGTGGGTGATTAGGGGGGTAGGTGAGGTTAGTGTGTGGGGGATAGGTTAGGTATGACAGATTATGGGGGAGGGATAGGGGATATTGTAGGGATTAGAGGTATTGGAGGGGTGGTTGGGAAGATATGGATTGTTTGTTGATGAGATAGGGATATGGTGTTATGGATGAATACATTAAGATTTGAGGAGGTGAAGAAAGGGGGGAGGTGGGGGGTAGGGTTTGTTGGAGTATGGAGTTGAAGAAGATATGATGGTTAGAGGGTTATTGTGGGAATGAGGTAGGAGTTGAAATGGAATGGAGTGAGGGGGTAAAGGAGGTTTGGGGGATATGTGATTTGTTTATTTAGAAGGTTTTGTCTGTTGGTTTGGATGATGATGATGAAAGTTAGGTTTAGTTTGTGAGGTTATATAGGGGGAGTTGTTTGATTTTGTAGGGGGGTTGGTTAGGGGGTGGTATTTAATAGAGAGGGAGGTGGGGTGTTATAGGTGATAATTTGGTGGGTGTGAATTGATATGGTGTATGTATTTTGAGAAATGATGAGAAGATGTTAGGTTGTGTGTGGTTGTAGGTTAGTTGGGGGTATTAGATTTAGAGATTGTATGAGAGAAGGGTTATAGATAAGTAGTTTAATGTTGGGTGTTAATATGGTGGAAAGAAGATGGGAAGATAGGGAGGAATGGGGATAGTGTTGTGTAGTGTTTTATAGAGGGAGGGGTGGTATTTGAGAGGAATGGGGAAGAGAATAATATTGAGTGGTGGGTATGGGGTGGAAATGTTGTTATAAAGTAAGAGGTGTTGATATGGGTAGGGTAGAAGGGGGGAATGGGGGATGTTAGTTTATGGGGGTGAGGAGGGGGAATTTCGATGGAGGAGTTTTGAGGGTTATGAGGAAAAGTTGTGGGGTTATGAAGAAGAGAGGTTATTGGGGGGGGTTTTTAATAGGGGTTTATGGGTAGGGGGTGGAGGGATGTATGATGTGGGAGGTGTTGGGTAGGAGGGGTTGGGAGGGGTTGTGGTGGTGAGGTTGGAGGGTGGTGGGGGGGGGAAATAGGCGGGTTGGGGGAAGTGGGGTGAGGTTGGAGGTAGTGGTTTGTGTAGGGAAGGAAGAGGGGTGAATGGGGGGGTGTAGTGTTGTGTAGAGTGGGAGAGGGGGGTGGTTAGGTAAGGAGGGTGGGGGTTAGTTATTGGTAGTGTGTTTGATGGGAGGGATGGGTGGAGGGAGGGGGTTTAGGGTTTAATAGGGTTAAGTGTTTGAAGTTATTAGGAAGGTGAGGGTGGAAAAAAAAAGAATAAAAGTGAAGTGAGAGGAGGGGGATGGGATGGTATTGTTTGTTGTGGAGTGGGTGTTAAAGAATGTATGTGGAGATGTGTGGGA